ATAGATGAGCAAGGGAGAATGAGGGGAGAAGAAAAGGAATCGGATGCGGGGGAAACTCGTGGGAGAGAGAGTTGAGTTGAGTTTGTACTTGGTACAAGTTGGGCTGGTGACTGGTGACTGGTGACTGCCGGGTGACTTGTGTCTATATAGTACTACGAGTACTACGAGTACACCTCTGCTTTCCTCCTTCACTCCTCCACTCCTCCACTACCAACTCCCACCGACTACTGCCACTGCCACTGCCACTACTACTGCCGCTACTCTGACTCCTCCTATACTCCACTACCACTCCATCACCCGATGGCGACTTCCGAGCATCTAGCCGGCCTGGCCCTTCGCCCGACAGCCGCCAGTTCTCCGGTGGTGGAGATGCCAGTACAACATCTACGAGAACCGCCAGCACGAGGATCCACCTGATGCGGAAGTGGGCCAATCGTGTCGATCATAAACCCGGCTTATCCATCTGCACCCCGTACAGCCAGCTTTCAAGAATGTGAAATGCGGGGGGGACGTCGCTACGTACCGAGTACATCGGTGGGGTCACGGGCCTCCCCTTTTCTTCTTCTTCCGCTGCTGCTGCTGCGTTTTCTGTCTGTGATGGCACCAAAGGTGACACTGACACTGACACTGGCATGGCACAGACACTTCTCGATCATCAATATCGACCTCCACTCCTTGCATCTGCACGTTCCCCACGTCATGGACCAAGCCCACGAGCTAAAGTCGGATGTCCCCACTCTCCCTCTGTTTTGGGACGAGAACTGCTCGGACACTCTGTTTGTTAGTCCGAGGGAAACCGTTGAGCTTACTCCCAGCTGCCTTTGTTCCTTATACCATCTCTGTCAATTGGACTTGCTGCAATTACCAAAAAAAAAACCAACAATTAATATCTCATATCTAACATGGCGAAACAGCAGTCGGAGCGACAGAACCCCGGCTATTCCTCATTAATATTCATCCGCTCCCGCGACCCGACGTTATATCCGAGGATATCAAGCTGAAGAAGATAGCCCCAACCAATCGATGAGCCCCACTGCCGCTGACAATGCGCATCGCCTTTCGCCCATCCCCATCGCGATCCCCATTTCCCCTGGTCTGCTCAACCAATAAAGCCCGCGGGAATAACAATGCCCGCCGGTGGGGATCCCCGGACCCGGTTGTTTGAGCTTGCAGGGGTACTCTATGCCTGGAATCCTCCGATCGAGTCGTCGGCCTCCTGTCCTTTCGCCGAGGACCGGCACTTTTTGTCGTTCTATCCTCACTGTGCCACTCTCCGTGGCCTGGATTGGCCGGATCAACGTCCTGGGCCTTGTATAACCGAAGCCGTGACCGTGCTATTTCCGCTATACCGACTCAGCGTACTTCTTCTGCGGAGGACTGTAGTCCGGGATAATAGTGACACTCCCCGAGCTTTGATGGCATATTGGCAACTGGGTGCAATTGCCCGGACATTTGCGTTGAACAAGGCTACGAAGTTTAACGTCGTAATAGGGCCCACCCAGCCTCTCTCCGAACCGTTGGCATGCAAAGGCAATCCGTTGGGCAATTGATGCACAAACCCTCGGGCGTGCCTGATCTAGATCTACCGCCTACTTACATTCTCCAGTGTTTACACAGTCCTGGACTCTGAAGTACTGGGTAAACCAGATACTCCTCTCCGAAAAAAATGCCCGAAATGGTTCTCCGGGATACTAATGTAACAGATGCAATGCGGCCGTCTCCGATGTCCAATCTACGGCCACGAGGCACCCATGGGCCATGGCGTTATCAGCATGCGGGATTCCTTTTCCATCAACAACAAACATCAGATCCCAACAAAATCTTATTAACAAGCACACCCCTCCTATAGTACGATCCCCACTAAGACAGCCCACTGTGAAAAACAGCTTCCAATTTAATAATTGGTTCCATCGACACTAAACCCATCTAAACAAAATACTGTAGATAGATCACCATAGCACTATTTAAAAAAGTCGAATGGTCCCTGCAGATCCACCGCCCCATCTTCCGCGGAAAGACATTCGGCATCCAGCTCTGGGCCACAGACTCCCGAACTGCCCCCGGCATAGAACTCGGGAGCGGAGTGTATTCCGGCGGCAAAGCGGGATGGTAACCTGGCGGAGTGCGGGTATGCGACGGGATCGGTGGAGAATCTCGGCAGTCATGACGGGGCGTGCAGAGGCCAAGACTGAGATCCGATAGCAATGACATCGCATCGGAAATCTCTTCCTTCTTCTAGTACTAATATCTGGCTTGTCTTTAATTTTAATTTATCGCACACCGCACTTTCAACTACAAAGGAGGGCCAGACCAGCACAGAGCTCTGAAAATTCACATAACGGAAAGGAAGTCTAGATTAATTCTAAATCTAATCTATGCAAAACAATGCAAAACAATATTCACAGGTATCATATAGTACATTCTCCAGGAACATAACTCATATCTAGTCCACCGCAAGATCAATTGGATGACTTGGATGACTTGGCGTAAGGCCAACCCTTGATAGAGCTGATCTCCCGGTTGAGCTCACCCAGGAAAGTCTTCTCCGAGGAAGACTTGTCCGAGCTGGCGTACTTGACATTGTCAAAATCGACAACGGGCAGGTTGACGAAGTAGCTCAAGTTAGGTTTAGTGTCGTTAGCCTGGAGGGACTGCAGAAGAGCAGTCGCATTAGGCTGGGCTGAGTAGCCATCGAAGGTCTTCTGGAACCAAGTGGCAGACTGTGCCAGCTCAAGCAAAGTAATGTTGTATTCCTGAATCTTGTCAAGACCCTTGGTGGCAGTCCAGTTGCCAGAGATGTTGCTGATCTTCTGAGCGACGATGAAGAAGTAGCAGGTTCCGTTGTCATCGCAGGTGCGAGCGTTGTCACCCAGAATTGAAAGGTCCATATCGGCTGGCTTCTGGTTATCGATCTTGTCAGATGCCTTGGCGATATAGACGTTCTCCAAAGCCCAGGCAACGTTGATGGCAGAGGCGTAAAATCCAGCAACAGAGGCATTCTTCACAAAACTGGCAGTATTGAGAAGAGCCTCCTTGATGTTGTCGGGTTGATTAAGCTCCTTTTGGAAACTGGATAAGAATTAACGTTAGCAGAATGTTCGTCAAAAAGAGGAGGAGTGATACTAACATCTCAGTCACATTAGACTTGGTAGCAGCGACAACTCCCGATGCAAAGGAAAGACCAGCAGAGGAGAAGTCAAATCCGCCGAGCAATGAGGATGAACCAGAGAGGACACTCTTCCATGACTTCAATGCCTTCTTAGCAAGAGCGAAGTAATTGCAACCCTTCTTGCAGCTGAGATCGTGATGGGTGAAGTCTGTCGCGAATGATGTGGTCTTGGTCTTCCATTGCTTGAGTTGCACGTAATACTTGTTGTAGAGCTTCTTATACCACTCGCGCGAGTAGTAGACGCCCAATCTAGTATAATACGCAAAGGGCTTTAGAACGTTCTTCTCGCAGCTAGCGGCAGAGGAGATATCGAAGTAACATTCCATGATACTGAGTGCGGTATCGATGTGGGATTCCTTCTCGGCCTTCTCGGTGACGTTGGTGATTGGCTCGATGACAGTCTCGTTCACGCTAAATACCGTTAGATTTTTTGTCCTGATGAGTAGAAAGATAGCGGACTTACATCATCCTGATCCATTTGTCCAAGTCGACTTTGTTCCATGCAGCAGGGATCTCGACGGCACTGGTTTGGGCTGATAAGGATGAGGATGTAGCTGTTGGTGTCTCGGTGGCGACCTCAGCTCGGGGAATATGGGCCTGGGGGGCGGCGATCGCTCCAACGACTATATCATGCATCAGTAAACAACAAACCGAGAGCCAATCAGACGACACAGAGCTCTAGGAGATACTACTCACCGAACGCGGAGAAAAGGTATGTGTAACGCATGATAGGTGATATTAATTTGGCTCGGAGTATTAAAGAATAGATTAATACAAAGCGAAGTTGATGTGATTGTTCATTTCAGTATCCGGGAAATTTCTCACCTCTTATATTGCAATCTTCTCCAGCAACCTACCCTGACAATCCAAGAATACATCCGCTAAAACAACTCAATTACTCGACTGGGTTAGTAACTATAGGCTGTGAGCTAAGATGAGGCTTTGTGGGCTCATTTAGCAGATCATCGCCCTTAATTCCCTCATTGGGCCTGCAGTGCGAGATTTGCATCCCGTCAATTTGGGGGCCGTCGCCCTCTGCGCCCCCTGCGAATGCCGAAGACAGTGCCCGTCAGCCCCAAATCTTTCAAATACAAGTCTAGGTAGCTCGTCATAGCGAAAGTAAGAATTCAGCTACTCCACACAATATGGGGGCAGACAATACAGAACGTACGATTCAACCAATGAGGCTAAAAACAACGTGGCGGTCACCACCGCCCCAGTGGTGATGTTCTAAAAAAAGGTCACAGTGAATATCTTCACCAGAGAATAAGCCGCACTGGGCTCGCAGTTGTTGTTCTTTCTTTCCAAGGTTGGCAAGATTGATGTTATCTTGGCGATCCTGGACCCATGCTTGCGGTATGCCTACGACCAGGGCTAGTTAATTTTCCTTGTCTTTCATTTTACTATTGAATCTAGGTCACAACAAGGATAATTTGAATGTCGAGGAGAGAATATCACGACAGGCGAGATGTAGCATTCAGAGAATCAAAATGGGAGATCGATAAAGGTGCATTCATCTAGGAAAGGTGTGGGTCGTCCCGGCAATGGCTAAAAGGGAAGGGCTGTGGTCCTCAGCCTTGTTGTCACAGCCTCGAAGGAAAATGAGCCCCACCGATTCCACTTTAACCTACTCCTACTATTAGCTTACTCGTATCTCCTCTAAACGGACAGGCGAATAGGACTCGGCTTACCGGAGAAATTCTACGGGGCGCCAGCAACAAACAATAAACAGACTAAAATTTGCAAGGATCACCCAATCCAGTCTAGGTAATTAAAAGAAACGACTCGCGAGTGCGAAAACTAAACAAGGCATTTCAGTGAATTCATCACTTTAGCCTAGCGGGGTCTCTGGCGGAGTGATAGCTTTGTGGGTATCAAGGCAGCCATAGACTGCTCCCGGCTTCAAATCTGCCAGTCGTCGTCCAGCCGTACCAGCAAGTCTTGTTCCATCGCCCAATTCTCCTTTGTCGCCCCAAAACAACCTTTTATGATCCCATTCATCAACAAGCTCTAAAACTCGGTCCAACTTTCCGTATGTTGCGGGAAGGGTGCCTCTGGGCCTCTTTCTTGTCATGTATTCGGTGGCAGCCAGCAAGCAAATAAAAAGTGCCATGAGTGCGATCACAGGTAATAGTGCGACGTTGAATGTCTCATCGGCTGTAAATGCATACCCAAATACCCATTGGACGATTGCCTTGAATGTCATCATCAATATGGTCTGCCACTGAATACTGGAAAGAATTGCCGGATCAATCTCCAAACCAGTGGATTGGAGGCAACGCCACGAAGCCTCATCGCGAGAGATCTTGAACAAAAGCTCCACACAGTGCAGCGCAAAGGTTATGAAGGATTGCAGGATTGTCTGTATCACTATTTCCCAGCCAATACGGGGTCGATTCAAGTAGACGACCATAGTCCATCCACATTCCTCCGTAGAACTGCCAATATTGCTGCACATCCCGGGACCATGCAACAACATTATCCATGTCATAGCCATGCACTGCGATGTAAATTCCATGACCCAGAGACCAAGCCATGAAGATTCCAGTAAAGCACCAGACAAGCCGGCGGACCAGTTGTACCTGCGGGGCTATCTCAAACATTGAACTCTGAAGTTCCCGACTCGAAAGCAAAGGAGCTGTGTGGCTTTCGGTATTGAGCTTTTCGTCGTATGAGAGTGCTTTTGAATTTGCCAGTAGACCACTGCTCCATGTCTTTACTCCACGACTACATATTAAACAGCAGGTAGACACGATGGCTTGAAGCAAGATCCCAACACCCAGAAAAATGACCGCAAAGCAATTGATATCGATGAAGTCGGTGGTTTGCGCGGGGGTGAATTCGAACTTCCTCGCTTTGTCATTCCAAGTCCCTATGACAACCACGTTGACAATGATAGTTGATAAGGACCCATGAGTGAGTGCTAGACCCAGAAGAGAAACGACATTTGCATACCAGCTATTGGGGCCGTGGCGGCGCGAACTAGTGAAAAGTCGGATATTTGAGTTGTATCTCAATCGCCCTTCATCATGCAATGCCCATTTGAGAGTGGTGTCGTGAATATAGTTTGTCGCGTCAAGTATTGCGGTTACTAAAAGATTCAAGAGTAGGTTTAAAAGAATGGACAAGCCAGGACGTAAAGGCAGGATTCGGTGACCCGGAAAGTTTTTGGCGCCCGGGGGTAAGTCCCATTCTGAAAAATTGATCAAGAAAGCTTTTCCTTGAACTTCACTCGGGGCTGTACGGTCTGGCGAGGTCATTATAAATGAGCCTCCAATGACACAAATCAAGGATACAGCCCAGCCTGAAGCCAACCCAAGTACACATAAGTTCCGAGTGGTGATTTCAGGGTCGCATTTTGGATCTAGTTCATGACATAGATCTCGACAATTGTCAAAGTCTTTTTCAACAGGCAATGACATCGTGAAGAAAGGCAATAGAATCGTGACGTATCGTATTGTCGGACTCCTGAGATAAAATATTAATTTATACTCTGCTGCATTAAGCATAATATCACCATATAGCTAAATTCAAGGTATACTTACTTTCACATCTTCATAAAAAGCAACTGAAGCCAAATTTTTCAAAATTGGCTAGAATACCTAAGCAAGTACATGTCAGCAAATAACTACCTTAAATGCTGCAGTTTGCGCCCTAACCCTTGAGTGATGCACATACTTTGGCCTTGGCTGTATAATCGCGTCACTGGGTTGTAAATATACTCATCCAATGAATACGCAACAGGCCCTGACCGTGAATGCTTACCCACGCGTCCGGCATGCCGACCTACCGGACCACATGATTACGTGTAGGGCTCATACATTGACTGATGTATGACAAGAATGTTAGGCATCCAATTGCTTGCATAAGTTATTTCCGTATTATATTTATTCCAGCCACTCTCCATGTCAGAACGAATAACATTGAGATATCCTCTTCGATAGAAATGATTCAACGGGCCTGTTGAAATATTTCACATGGGGCGAAGAATGCTGGGCCAGGCCTCTCATTCGATTCTCTTCAGTAGGGAAATTTTCTACCCGGACTAGACCTTTGATTTACATTAACCCTTACATTAAGCCCACGCAAGACCTGTCGGGATAAATGAACCCATGCGGGAGCTGCCGGAGAGAAGTTTAAATTTGATATGGTTATATTAACTAAAGCAACTTGCCTTGATGAATGTTCCGCTCACTCATCCCAGCCAAATTTCTGTTCTTCGCTCCTCAACATGCACTATCTCAATCTTATTTACCCCTTTTTGCTCAGCTGTACGCTCTCGGTAGCCTTCCCGTTGGATATAATCCCAAACAAGACACCGGATCCACCTCCCACTGCTTGCCAACACTCCGATTCGGGTTCTCCTCTTGGTTGCCGAAGAGTTTGAATGTTGATTTTGAGACGTGATCTCTTAAACAAGGTGTGTTCAATAAAACAATATATATATTTTTTATTTTATAGCCCACTGATTTCTCTCAGACTCCGAGTCCTTTTCTTTCCTTTTTTCTGCTTCATGTTGGGCTTTCTCAATATTTTGACGAAGTTGCCGAAACTTTTAATATCAGCCATCTGACAATACTTTCTTGGTACTATGCGTTCCAAGTCCAAGGGGAGCTATGAAAGTCCGAGCCATGTATCGCCGGCCACTATGTATTAGACCAAGCTGAAAGCTTGACAAATATTTTAAATTTCAATATCATGATAGTTCTTGAGCTGCTCTTGGCCGAAATTAAGCATATCTGAAAGCATTTATTCGTGAGCTATGTTCTTAATTCAAACAGCACTCAGATTAAATATCTCCCAACTGTCAATGTTTGATTTCCAGCTTGAATACACAGTGAGCCACCATGTGGCCCTAGCAGGCGGCCGCTGGTATGGTCAACGTAAGTTCCCCTGAATACCTACTGAGACGGTTGCCGCTATGGAGTCCCGCACCATTGATTCGCTCTCTCTAAATCCCGCCATTGCTATATTCCTAACAGGTGTAATTAAACTCGAAAGATACCTTGGGAATTCCAGCAAATCCGGATGGCACAGCAAAGGACACATTATACACACGATTATCTTCAACCGAGGCACCGTAGATAACTGGCAACTGCTCCAGGTCCTTGGCGTTGACATTGACACTGAGACAAGGTAGATCTTCGAGACCTCGAACGACCTTCTTCTTTGTCAAGGTCCAGCTTGGTGGGAGCTGCGCCAACACAAAGGTGAAGATATCGGTGCCTTCCTGTGTAGTGTTAGGGTATGAGACCTCAAGAGTGTTGGGTCCAGCCACGGCATTGATTGTTGACGCGGTTGGATAAAGTGAGAAAAACGACATGTATGGGTGTGGTTTGTGGTCCTTGTCACCGGCCCATTGAACGATAGCCGGTACATACTGCTCGCCGCGGTTGATAGTCTCATTGACCTGTTGGGCCCCTACCATGAGAGACGCACTCATCCAGGTAGTGGCGATTCGGATCTCGGCATCGTCGCCTAGGGCATCGGGGATCTTTTTGGTGATCATGCGTTCTCCCTTCCAATTTCCTTTGGCCTTTAGCCACTTATTGTTCTCGTCTGAGATGTGCTCCGCGACCACGTCCATAATGAGAGCCAGCGCTGCTCCCTGTGAGACATCGAATAAAAGATCCGATTCAAGCTTATTAGGTTGAGGCCCAGTGCCGTAACCATAAAGTCCCCACCAAAAATAGTCTATCACGGCTGAATTTGTAACCATGTCGCGTGTGTAGGCTCTATCATACTATTCCAAGTTGTTAGTTAGGCATCTGGGATTTCTCGTAAAAATAAAAAGTACACCCACGGGACCTGCCATAACTGAAAGGTAGGGATTGTAATGGGTCGCAATATCTGACCAAAGATCCTTCAAAATGACTTTGGAGTTCTTGGTTATCGCAGAACTTGGAGGGCCATATTTAATAGCGCCAGCAAGTGCCCACGTATCCATTCCATAGTAAGTGGGTGCGTTATATTCGGACAACACATCTGAGCCCGTTGACTTGAAGAGATTCAATATGGTTTCTGCCTGTTCATCTGCATAGCTGATAAGAGTCTATTTTTCCCGATTAGCATACTTTCTTAGGAAAGGATAGGAGATCTGAGAACGCTCTTACATCATTACTGCGCCGATGGCCGAGCCATGCAATATACCATGCGCGCATGAGTGCTGGATTCGAGTACCCCGGTGTCAAATTGTCTTCTTCTGGGTATGAGCCATTGCGGCGCATTGAACCAACAGCTGCAATCTCCAAGCTATTTTCAATCTGGGTGACGAGGCTTGGCCCAATCAACTCCGAGAATTCTTCGACAATCTGCACCAGTTGTGTCCCTATAAACTCTCTCCAATTTGGGTCGTAGGTAGTCTTGAGACCTGTCAGTAAGATCTATCCTAGATTTTCATGAAGTAATTATCTTCCATGGAAGATCAGTTCTTACGTATATCTCTGGTGGATATAAATCGGAATCAGGAGTTGGGTACGGTTCATCGGGTGAAACTTTGAAGGTACCATACCAGGCTGACTCGTAGCTTTCAGTCATCTGGCAAGAAATACTATAGCCATTGATCAGTTTCAATTGGCTCAGTACGAGCACTATAAATTTCCCATGGCATTCTAAGAGAAGACACTATCTTACATGTTCTCGATTGCTGATTTGGCGTTCGACAAATCGTCTCCCTGGTTTCGGTATAACAGGCCGGCGGCATACCAGGCTGTGAATCGTGTTGACCAAGGGCCATGATCAGAGTACCAGATATACTTATAGGAATCATCCCAGCGTATGTCATTGACATGCATGGACCATTCAAAGAGGTCCTGCGCACCTATTGATATCTCGGTTAACAACCAGCAGCATACAACAATTAATTCGGGACTTTGACTGACTTTTAGAAAGATTCTTGGTAATTTGAGCGGCCGAGGCACTGGCCACTAGATATACGCCCACAACGGCCTTGTTATCCAGTCTCATTTTGCAAGATGAAGGCTTAACTTGGAATACTTAATAAGCAAATAATCTGGCCGGAAACCGTGATCTCTTCAGATTATAAAGAAAAGTAAACCCCTAATGTGAATCAGATCTCTTGGACTTCCCCTCCCTGAAATGTCACATCTAGTCGGGAAAATTTCGGCTAATTGGTGACTACCGATTGTTCAGCTCTTCAATCAGTGTCATTCTATGTCCTGATCTGGTAGACTGTAGTTATACCCCGCAACCCCGGAAAATTGATGGCCCCACAAGCCCACTGGTTTGGCTTTTCCGCTCCTTTGCGATAAAGTCCAGTCTTTTTGATCTCCAATAACATTTCTATATATTTTATTGAGCATAGGGTCAAGAAAAATGACTCAGAAAAACGCAAGTCGTTGAAGTCTCAAATATTGTGATAAATCGTGAATTTCTTTGGTTCAACATGCCGGTCCTTCCTCCTCCTTATGACTCGCAAAGTGGCACATAGGGTGATCGAAATTCTAAAGTTCTTGTTTTCCGGCGAGATAAGATCGTGCTATGATTTTCCACCAATTCCCGTTGTTGGATTCCTCCGGTGGAGCGCGAACGTCGGCAAACAGAATCCACTTTTGGAAATTAGGCTAAGGGCTGTGAGCATCGTCACCGCCATACGAGTAGGTTCACAGAAAAGAAAGGATTGCCGGTTCTTCTTGCTCCTTCAGATGCTGTGTAATGCGGATAGAGTTTCAAGCAGATTGCGCTACGTGGCCTGGTCATCCTATGGAAAATTCTATACTCTCGTCAGGGGATGTCTTTAAGGCGTCGAAAAGATCAAGCCGAGTTCAGAAAGGAAGATGTATGGAAGCCCACTCCAGTAATTGACATTAATCTGTCTATATTCATCCTAGATTGATATTTTCGGTGACCTTGCTCACTTACAAGATAGTCACTCTTTTAAACGAGTATCGATGTAGATATAGAGCTACTAGCATATCATGGCCGTCTCATTATGTTAGAGACAGGGGCTCGTGTTCACAAAGTATGCCGAGCGATAATATCCAGAGCGCATTGATAAATCGGAATAGTATTTTCAACCAATGCTTTCGTCGATTTCGAGCGAGGTGGCTGGGACTCGGAGGGGAGTTTAAAGCTAATAGTGGCGTCAAATATGCATAGAGACACCATAATTTATCGACCAGCAATTGAGGATTTCTCACTCACATTGTGTACTAAATTCTGGTCAGTGTGTCTCGAATCAGACAGCTAGTCGTGCCATACTTTGAGAGTATTACTAAGATACCAACCTTTCAGATCTTAAGTAAGCCAGCAGCGATATTCAGGCGGCCAACAAATATTCTTCCAGGTATCCGAGCCCCAAAGCTTAACATACGAACAACCAACGTGGGTCGGAGTGGGGGCTAGGCTTATAAATAGCGATTATTTGACCTCAGGGGCGGGGTGAAATTCATTTCATTTCGGCCCCAACACCTCTTATATCGCGCTTGTAATACGCACAGCACCCGTACCTAACATCCTCATACACCATGGCATCTCGATTACCAGTTATTCTCTGCGGCCGCACGACAGCGATAGGGAAGCCGGTGTCTGAAGCTCTTCTGCCCGAATATGAGGGTACGTCTTCGTCTCCACCGGCCAGGAAGCACCGGGATCGCTTCATTAGTAGCCTTTCCAAGCCAAGCTAACCTGGGAACCGCTTTTATCAGTTATCCACTTTTTCCAAACAAACGAAGAGATTCAAGCCGAGCTTCCGGCCCTCCTCGCAGGCCGCAAGCCTCAGGCTGCTGCGTCTAATGACATCGGTTCACACGACTACACTCGACCTGCGCGGGCGGTCATTTTCGGCCGGGGTTATCAGATGGAAGAGATCGAGAAGTTCCGTAAGGCTGCGGCTGGCCATTTCTCGGAGCCGATTGCTTGGGTTATAAGTGATCCGGCGAATGTTCAGTCGGGTGGCCCGCCCTCCCGCCGGGGTATGCGAATAAGGTGACCGATCTTGTTAAGAGTAAGCTAAATGAGTGGAAGGCAAGCGGTGCTGGGGAGAACGCGGTTCTTTTGTATTGATATTATCTGGCACTGGTACTAGAAGGCCCCATTTACTAGGTTTTAAAATGCAAAAAGGTATTATCCGCCATCCCTTCATTCCGACCGGACTTAAAGCTATAAACCGCCTTGAGCTTCTACTTCCCCTCAGCCTCGCTTGACCCTTTCCCTCCAGGGCTTATATCTACTTTCTTCGAGTTCTGATGCTTTTTCATCCCGATTGCAAAACATAACCCCATAGGTAGTAGTAATAGCAATCAAATTAGAATCAACCTTGGAATTTCTGGCAAGAACGTGTGGATATATATAACTACTAATATTTACCACCACCACTAGTAGTTGGTACTTTCAAGTTCTCTTTTCCCTCTGGGCAGGGCTTCACGTTTTTCTCCTCCAAGTTCCTCAAGTTCTTTACTACCTAGGTAGTACCCTTCCAAGGTTAGCATTTTGGTATTACAACACGCTGCAAGGGCACTACCTAGTGTAATGGGGATTCCCGCTCTCAACATCGGTATCCTGTAGTCATGTGAGAGAGGCCTTAGCAACAAGGCCACCGTTTTGTTTCGTGAGATTAAGTAGCGTTCGTTCGATGCTATCAATAACAACATGCATGTTCCCCCTTCTGTTATGAAAATGTTCTACTGAGGCTGCTGAGGTTGCGGTATCGGTATACTGCTTATGAAAGGTTCTGGTATTCGTTCTGTTGATTCTCTATAGCGTCACGCTTGCCTATCGTCTCCTTGCACTCTGCGAGTGTGGTGGTGTTGTCTCTTCGCGATCGACCCGTCTGCCAACGCAGACTGCCTACGAGCATTCCCATCTTACACTAGGTAACCTTGGAAATTACCTTATTAACCTACAGCACTAACCTTGGAACCTACGGTATCTAATTGACGCGTTTGTAGGTCGCCCTTCGCCTTTTGCCCTTGGCCTCTTGGCCCCCTTTACTACTAGTAGTACTACTACTGCTACATACTAATGGTGGTTATGGCCGATTTATGTAGTAGTAGTAGTAGTAGTAGTAGTACTTCAAGTTGTATATTTGACTTGGTTGTTCCCACTATCTGCCTATCAGAAGGTGTTCCATGCAACATAATCAGCAGATTTATTGCTACTACTAGTATGCAACCAACACTCTACGGGCACCCAATCCTGTGACAATGACGAAATACACTTTAAATGTAAATGCATGTCGCTTCATGGATTGTAGCGTCAGACCCGCACAGACATCTTGGCTGTTCTACATCCCTGCCACCATGACTAACTGCCACAGCATATTCACGGCTACCACCGGGCAGGTTGCCGATGTACATCGCCTGAGACCGGCCATGGGAGCCGGGAGAGGGGTCTTACAATGTCAGGCCGAGCTGTACGAAGCTCAGTGGAGGAACGCCTCCACGCATTTCCCCGCATTTTCGAGGGCCACGCGACAGCTTCCCCAGAGCCAAGGCGCCAAGAGAGAAAGGTATTGTGACCGTGTTGGTGGTATCTGCCTAAACAGGAAGGGAACATGCTCAAGGAAGCCAATGAGGCAAGAAATGAGCATTCGGGGTATTGGGCAGCGAGTTAGTAATGACAAGGGAAGCTAAGGATTGGGCGATTCAAGGGTAGGTCCGAAACCCGCCGTCCAGTCGATTGGGACGAGGATAAGATACGCAGTATGACGTTGGACCTCCGGGAAGCCGTCTCGGGGAAAATAGGAGACGAGTAGATCGCCGTTCCTTTTTCCGCACTTCGGACCAGCCCGTTCTGAAACGTGTTCTGGTTGGGCAGTGGCCGGCTGATAGGTCGAGACTCGAATTAAAAAACAGGAATCATTATCACGGGAGAAATAGGAAGCCGGTTTCGCCGTTAATCGCAATCGCTAGTCCGTTAGACAGTGCCAGGGCCCGGTAGTGCCAAATTGATGAATGTTAGCTTGATACGTAGTCAATAAAGGAGAGGAGGGAGATGCCGATGTGGGGGAGGGCTGGGTAAAACAAAAGCCCATGGTCATGTGCACCTCGTCTTTGAAAATTAGAGTCTAAAGGTGCTAAGTATAGCCTTCGATTGAAGAGGCCTGGCCGGGGGAGAGGGTCCTCCTTGTGCAGGCGTTTTTGCGGAGAGACAGGGGGAACCCTTTCCCCACCAAGCCTTGCTCAATTTGGTCGGAAGGCAAGGCGGCATAGTTCCAGACTCCTCACATCCATCGCCTGGCAACGAGTCACGCGGGGGAGTTTAAGGCAAAGATGAAAAAAAAATAGACAGAATCAAAGCGTGACACGGATCAGGTGCATGCCTGTCGAGAAGTTCGTACGTAAGTCATTGAAACAAAATCGCGCAAAATAGACGTGTTTCAGGCGCTGCGGAATTTAGGGCGGCGACACAAGGGAGGCTCACTCAGGTCTCTCCCGAGGCCAGAGCCGGGTCGGGATCCGCCGCTAACCACCGGGAGAGGATCTGGGGTTGTGAGTGCGATCGTGATGGTGGACCAGGATGGTCGCAATGCCCTCCTCGTCCAGCCCGGGTCAGGGCCGAAAAATCACGATCCCGACACCGAGGCCAAGCGAGAGAGTAAATCGCAATTCCGGGGGAAGAAACGTTGACCGCCCCGGGAAAGTCTGGATTGAAGTTCTCGAAATGCCTCATTTCATGGGCTTGGGTGGGCTGGGCCGAGACCGAGTCATCTTAGACGTAATCTGCATGCGCCGACCAGCCAGTTGGATTGGAGGGGTCGAGGGACTCCAGTGGCACAGGCCAACGAACGAGGAATTGATTATCGTCCGGCAGCGAAAATAGGACGCAAAAAGGCCGGGAATATCTTCAGCCCACCCGAACATCCTTGAGGTGGTGGAATTGTGTGGGATATGATTGGCTGAAGCCGCCGCGATCGAATTTGCCAATGCATCATCCTCGGCTTGGTTAAGCGCCGTTATTGGAGTATGTTCGGCGTAGGGAGGAGCCTGATTTCGTTCGTTCCGATGAATGCCCCCAGTTTGTCGTCATCGGGTGAAAAATGGAACATTTTTTTTCGCATCAGCTGTAAGATTTCGGGAGACCATGATTTTGCGTGTTTTCTTCCCCACGGAAACCCGAAGGATGAAAGAAATCGGGGCAAGGGAAGCCGAAAAGTGAAGAGGGAATGAAGCAGTTGAAGACGGGATCGACGCTGACATAAGCCCCCGCGTTGGAGAAGTAAAGTAGAACAGTAGTACATACTCGTACATACTAACCAGTAGTTGCTAGTAGTTTACTGGTTTACTGGTTTACACTGTGTACAATACAAAGAACTCTTAAATGGTGAGATCATGGCACCGTCATTCCTATTGACAGAGTTTGTTGTCTTTGGCTTCAGAGAGCCCGGATGCGGAGTAGAAACCTAGGTTTAATCAAATCCTTTGGGCCGTTCCCAGCATGTGCACTTGCAAACTCTCCCTCTTCAAATTCCCAACTTCTTCGTCCATTTCTTCGATTTCTTCAACAACAACTCCCCCAATCTTTGATACTAGTACAATATCTTCCCCACGTATTCTCCATACAGTCCGGTCTTTAGCCACCCGACTTCAGTTCGTGTCCACCTTTGCTCGGGTCAATTCGGACTGCGCCTCGCCGTCGCAACCCACGGCAACGCATCTACCATCACCAACCGCAGCTCGGCCCTTAGCCCCGACATCACCCGTGGAACTGTGGAGAATTGCAGGGGCAAAGTGCACGAGAACTCCCTTCATACCAAGAACCGTCATGACCATGCCCCCCGCTGGAAAGAATTATATACCCCCCAATCGCCCGGCTTCTCCAGGTCCTCTTGCTTCTGATTTCTTCCAACAGCAAGTCGCGAAGCAACGCAACAATAACTATCACTCTACTTCACTCCGCACAATGGTTGCCACTTCTGTGAATCGTACTGCTCTGCACCCTGGTGGTGTCCAGTATGTCTTTCCCTTTTCTACTTTACCTTTGTTTGTCTTTGCCACTTCCATACTAACCTCATCGTCTTAGGCCTGGCAAGGGTCACACCGAGCTGGAGGAGGAGCTGCACGAGACTGCGCACATTGACTATGACCGAGTCGCAATTGTAAGGCATATTTCACACCTTCCTTGCGCTTGAGACTCGACATGGTCGTTGGCGACTCGGACAAGTTCTCTGATCATATATACTAACCCATCATCTCCAGATTGCCAACCCCGCCGTTGCTGCTCTTTACGAAGATGCCCTCGTCTACGAGACTGGTACCGCTATCACTTCCACCGGTGCTCTGACTGCCTACTCTGGCGCAAAGACTGGTCGTTCCCCCTCCGACAAGCGTATTGTCAAGGAGGAGTCCTCTGAAAACGAGATCTGGTGGGGACCCGTCAACAAGCCCATGACCCCTGATGTGAGTTCCAACAAAACAAACCATTTATCATCATCTTTTCCCTACTATACTATGCGTCATTTTTGTGGAATGTGTCTTTGTCGTGAAACGAGGGTGGCCCTTGCAGGTGGCCCGATCTGAGATCCACCTGGGAACCCTTGCATATGCATCCGCGAGACCAAGCTTTTCTGGCAGTCCAGTTCGACAGGATTCCTTCTGCTGGTTAATGCCTCAAATGCCTCAAATGCCTCACTTCTCCTTTTTTCATTTCCCTCACATTCAAGTTCACTCACCTTCCCGATTTTGCCCCTCGGCTATTCACGCCTTCCCCGCGCCGCGCTTTTCACGTGTATGACATCATCACTAACGATCCTCCCCAGGTCTGGCGTATCAACCGTGAGCGCGCTGTCGACTACCTGAACACCCGCAACCGCATCTATGTCATCGATGGTTACGCCGGCTGGGACGAGCGTTACCGCATCAGCGTCCGTGTTGTCTGTGCTCGTGCCTACCATGCTCTGTTCATGCGCAACATGCTTATCCGCCCCTCCAAGGCGGAGCTGGAGCACTTCCACCCCGACTATGTTATCTACAACGCCGGTTCTTTCCCCGCCAACCGCTTCACTGAGGGTATGACCTCTGCCACCTCCGTCGCCATCAACTTCGCCGACAAGGAGATGGTTATCCTGGGTACTGAGTACGCCGGTGAGATGAAGAAGGGTGTCTTCACCGTCCTCTTCTACGAGATGCCCGTTAAGCACAACGTCCTTACCCTGCACTCTTCTGCCAACGAGGGCCAGAACGGTGATGTTACCGTCTTCTTCGGTCTGTCCGGAACCGGCAAGACCACCCTGTCTGCCGACCCCAAGCGCAAGCTGATCGGTGATGACGAGCACTGCTGGACCGACACTGGTGTCTTCAACATCGAGGGTGGCTGCTACGCCAAGTGCGTTGGTCTCTCCGCCGAGAAGGAGCCCGATATTTTCAACGCCATCCGCTTCGGATCCGTCCTGGAGAACGTCGTCTTCGACCCCATCAGCCGCAACGTCGACTACGATGACTGCACCCTCACTGAGAACACCCGTTGCGCCTACCCCATCGAGTACATTGACAACGCCAAGATCCCCTGTATCAGCGAGAACCACCCCACCAACATCATCCTGCTGACTTGCGATGCCCGCGGTGTTCTGCCCCCCATCTCCAAGCTCACCCCCGAGCAGACCATGTTCCACTTCATCTCTGGTTACACCTCCAAGATGGCTGGTACTGAGGATGGTATCACTGAGCCCCAGGCCACTTTCTCCTCTTGCTTCGCCCAGCCCTTCCTGGCTCTCCACCCCATGCGCTACGCTACCATGTTGGCCGAGAAGATCAAGCAGCACAAGGCCAACGCCTGGTTGCTCAACACCGGCTGGGTCGGTGCCGGTGCCACCACTGGCGGCAAGCGTTGCCCCCCTCAAGTACACTCGTGCCATCCTGGATGCCATCCACAGCGGCGAGCTCGCCAACGCCCCCTACGAGACCTACGAGGTCTTCAACCTGCCCGTCCCCACTGCCTGCCCCGGTGTCCCCTCCGAATTGCTCAACCCCCGCAACAGCTGGACCGCCACTACCTCTTTCGAGGACGAGGTCAACAAGCTCGGCGGCCTCTTCAACGAGAACTTCAAGAAGTACTCCGACCAAGCCACCCCCGAGGTCCTCGCTGCCGCTCCCCAGACCAACTAAGGTTGTGTTGGAGAAGTTACTTGACAAAATTGGCATTCTTGTTTTTGATATTTGAGACATTTGCATGGCGTGTTGCGTTGGCTTTAGTCGGAACGATCTATACCCGGATCTCGACGCCCGTGCTTGATTCGGGACAAGCGCGATGGCTTGATTTTTCTTCTTTTTTTCTTCCTTTTATTTCCTTTTGTCTCCCGAAATTTTCCTTGTGTTCTTGATATGCCCCGTCCCACTCAAAATGGACATGTTGTTACGATGGCTAAATCGGAGTTTTCCTATTCTATGGACTGCCCTTAATGTAGTAGCCAATGAAACTAGATTCTTCAAAACTGTGTTCTCTAATTCTGCCGTAGCATAAACCAAACCAAGCAAGTAGAGGTTTTTTATCTATCTTATTAATAGGTAGGTAGCAGTGGACCGAGGCATTCGGTGCTCCGCTGATTTGATGATTGGGGGGTTCCCGATCGGGTAGTCAGTCACTGTCAACAGCTCCATGGGGAACCTTAGTTGCAAGATGCTATCTATTTTTCTTAATATATTGCATGATTCAATCAATGTCTTTTTTCTCCTCTACTCTACTCTATCAATTGAACTCTCCTCTCCCTCTCTAGCCGACCCCAGTATACTACATCTACATCTACATAGTACGGGACATACCCCCGGCCAAGGCCCCTGACGTCGGTAAGAGATAAGCATGTGGATCATCGGAAATCAACATTGTCTCTTCTTCACCATATCAATCACCCAATCTACCACATCCCAACACAGATGCAAACACAGAAACAGGCAGCAGAATGGACCATCGGATCGACCGCCTTGTTCAAGGAAAAGGAGGCAAGGGATCGTCACTTGGCTAACTTGGCTCACTTGGCTCTACGTCATTGGGCTGACAACCCTCGAACGATCGACAAAGAAATCGTTTCATTCCTTGATCGCGTGATACCAGTGTAACCAAACTACCTTTTTTTTTTTTTTTTTCCCTTTTCCTTCTCTCTTCCGTCCTTTCATGATCAAAGAATGGAGGAAACGCCCATTCTATCCCCGGCCCGGGCCCAACTCGCAAAGAAAGCAGGCAGGTATCGCATGCTGGCGTCGATTCTCTCTGGCCTGGACCGATACCTCTCCTTCCCATCCCCACCTCGCCCCTGTCTAAACATCTCCATTCCCTCAACAATCAGCCAAACCCCGGGCTCCATCCAGCTTTACTTCTACACAGCCACGGGCAAAGACCTCTCCCCCGATTCACAATCCACGAAACGGCCCGTCCTCATCAACTTCCACGGCGGCGGTTTCACAATCGGCCATGCCGTCGACGACGCGCGCTGGTTCCGGAAAGTACTCCAGGGCTATCCCGATGCCGTAGTCGTCAGTGTAGGCTACCGACTCGCACCAGAACACCCATACCCGACCGCAATTCAAGACAGCACAGACGCAGTCCTCTGGCTATGGAAAAATGCCGAACAACATAATCTCGACCGAACCCGCTTCGTCTTAAGCGGCGATAGCGCTGGGGGGAATTTATCCCTGACAGTTCCTCTAATGTTATACAACGAACGCGTGAAGCTACAGCAGCAGCAACATCAACAGCAAAGCCCAAACAGCGAACAAGAGAAAGCGACAGAGGAGGAAGAAGTCCCGATTTCAAGATTAGCCGGTCTGATCACCTTCTACCCTCCGACTAACTGGACTCGAACGCGTGAACAGCGCAACGCGACGAACCCAATCGCTGCCCGGAAATCCATGATTAAGCCGAACGTTTTCAAGCTTTTCGATGACTCTTATCTTGATCCGGAGAGTTTGCCTTACACGTCTGCTGGTGCTGACGGTGAATCGAAGGTGGTTGAGATGTCGCATCCTTATCTCTCGCCTGGTCTGACGCCAACGACGCTCTTGCTGGCGGCGTATCCGCGCAACGTTGCTATCTATACGTGTGGTTGGGACCAGTTACTGGTGGAGGGTAATGAGTTTCGGGAACGATTGCGCCTTTTGGCTGTTGAGGGGCAGATGGCGCATGTTGGGGGTATGGTGATTGAGGATGTTGTGCATGGGTTTGATAAGAAGCCTTCTTTTGTGATGGGGAATAAGACTCGGGATCGCATGTATGGGGATGCGGTGAGGCAGTTGGGGGTTATGTGGGATTAGCTGATATCTTCGAGTCTGGATTTGGGGTTTGGATTTTCCTATATAATACTTTTAGTAGTAATGTTTGCCATTTAGCCTTGGGTATTGATTTTGATAGCGGATATACAACTAGTTTTGTTTGAGCGATGTTGAGCTTTAAATCAAGTGAACTTGGGAGAATACTGGTATTTCCAAGTTTGAATTCAAGTTTTCTTTTCCTTTCGTTTCACCTGGCATGATGGTCGTACTAGTACCGTGACATCTCACCACTCGAAAATCTAAATACTCGCCTGCGCATCACTACTGCTACACTGGTTTATAGCACGGTCCATACTACTATACTACTAGTAGAGTATCCGAGTCGAGTCACACCCGAAGCGGGGCGACTGCTTAGGCGGGGTAAATCACCTCGCGCCTATTTTTTTTTTCTCCTCAAGTGCTGACCTTTTTTCCAACTCTCACTCGTCTGCATATTTTCCACCTTAAAATTCTTTCTCCCAAGGTTGGTAGTTTCCCCCGCTTCCAAGGTTGCTGTGTCCTGCATCCTTCATGCAAAGCGACAACCATACTCATACTCGGGGGCCTTATCTAACTAGCTCTAGCTCAACACAGATCAACAAATCAACAACCCATCACAAATAATCATGTCTGGTCACGCTAGCTGCCCCAAGTGCGGAACTGCTCTCGTCAGTGCTGGCAAGAGCTGTGGATCTTGCGGAGCGGTTCGTTGAATAACCCCTACTACTTGATGTTGTTCGTGGACCCGGAACCGGAACCTGGGACTGACGCTTCTAGACTTGCCCCGTCTAAACGAATCTTTACATACGGCCTTTCGCCTGGCCGGAGAGTCTGCGGGTGTATTATGAACGATGACGAGTGATGCGGTTTACGAGATTACGATGCTGGCGTGGTGTTGAGATATGTGTAGCAGTATGAGTATGGGCTGCGAGAGCGGGGTGGGGTTTCAGGCATGGAGTCAGTGGATGAATGGAGGATTGATACCAGCGCTGTTACATAGGCACTAGCCAGCCGATGCAATACGAAAGCTTGAAATACGTGGTTTTCGAAACAAGCAGAGAATAGATAAATCAACGTAGACCCCGTGGGATTTGACTATATACGAAGACAAATGAGAAGCAAGAACATCTAAACATGCCCAGCGGGTTCAAAGACGGAAAGAAAAAAACAAGGTAGGAAAAAACAAGGTTACAAGTTTGTTCACGAAACACAAGGATATCAACGCGGAGGGGTTGTTCAAGTCGACAGAGATCTCATATCTCCCACGCCTTCTGCATCCCACTTCTTCCAGATCAAGTTAACATCCAGTCCAGCCCTCCTATACCTGTATAGAAGGTGACTGGAGCGAATCTCTCTCTCTCTTCTTCTCTCAACACTCAACGCCAATTGACTCCCTACAAAGCCTCTCCACTTCACTCGACGACAGGAATCATTTAGGCAGTCTTGCGCCACTGGGACCAAGTACCAATCAAACTGCTAACGGTACCAGCAATACCGACGATACCATCATCGAAGTTGGCGACACCAACCGCAGTAGCGGGGATAGTCAAATCGAACAGGTCCGAAACGAGCTGTATCCGGGCCGCAGCGCGCTCCTTCTCAATCTTCTTAGCCTCAACAACACCCTCGCCCTCCTTACGGTCGATAGTCTTCTCCTTCTCCTGCAGACGGACGAGAGTGTAGATACCCGCGATAGCGGAGCAAAGCAGACCAGCACCCCAGGCGCGGTACGCGTATTCCTGGAGCTTCTTGACAGAGGCGAGCTTGCGGTAGCCGATGGCGTCGACAACGGTGATGGTGTCGAGGGACAGATAACCGGCGTAACCGAGCTGGCGACCGACGGCCAGGTAGCGCAGGACCGGGTCGACGGGGCTCTTGTTGTCGAGGGCGACGGAGGCGGCCTTCAGGTGCTCGGCGAACTTGCCGATGCGGAGGATCTTGCGCGTTGTGCCGAATTGCTTCTTCACCGCGTTGTATGGGTCAATAGCCGATTGCGGCTTGTTGGTGCGGTACAGGTACCAGGCGTAGAAGCGGGAGAAGTATTGGAGGGTTCGGAGGAGCTTGTCACGGCCGACTGGAGGTTAAATTATGGGGTTAGCATGGAGTCTGGGGTTCGATAGTCGGTGGTCATTTTGGGAATAGGATGGGATAGGATGAGATGTGGTGTGGTGTATGTTCAGAAGATGCGGGTTTCCGTAGAGGAGCCTCCGCGGGGGACGTAAGGGGTTTTTTTTGATCTGATGCATGTGCTGGTGATGCTTGTGCCATCTTCACTGACGAGCATTTGACTGGGGTAGAGGAGCCGAGGGTACGTACCGGTTGTCGCAACGAAGCGCAGCCAGTGGGCCAGAGCAGGGTGGTAGACGAGGGCGTCGGCGACCATGATGTATGTCTGTTTGTTCCGATGAAACTCGGAAGTATTAGAGATGGATCGAGGATGGAGGGATGTCAAGAGAGCAGGTGGGCCCACGGGGATTAAAAGGGAGGTTGAATCGATGATGTCGGGAATTGACCGGCGATTGCGAGCCGCGGGCAACCTCGGCTGAAGTTGAGCGGTGGAGCTGGACTGCCGTTACTCCATATTGACTAGTATTACTAGTATTACTCCGGAACTACACACTCTAGACTACAGACATTCATGTGAAATGCTTATTTCCGAGAAAAAAAAAAGATGTGCATTTATGTGCTGCTGCCAGTCCCAGTCCCAGCTTTCACTTGAATCTACTTGACTGCGCTGGCTTCCATTTCTTTCACCCTTTGAGCTCGGCTCTGCGCAATCCACCCGATTGATTTTCGTACCTTCGTCACCACTGCGCTTGATGGGTTCCGTATACCTATTTAGGGTGATCTTCCCCTGGTTAAATTCGGGTCTACCTTCTCCCTTCATTCGAGTGGAAACAAACCCTCCTTGAGTGCTGAAATGCTTCACATAGTCCATATACTCCCCACCAATATGGTGCAGATAGGTATAGGAAACATGCGATCATTCAGACTTGACTATGGCTACCCACTGTCATGACACCTATTGGCCGACCCATCACCATCAGTGAGAACGGACTAAATCACTTGGTTTTCTTTATTGCTTCTCGACTCTCAAAGAAACCCCCCCTCATTCAACCAACACGCATGTGCCCGTCGACGATGGTCTCTTTGATCGGCGTCAAAAGAGAAATTTCCCACTATAGTCAGCAAAGAAAATCTGACAATGAAAGATGTCCAGTCCTACATGCCCCTCCGTATATGATCCTTCGAAATGATACTTAAACCAACAACCAGCTCGTCCAATTTTGCTTCACTCATTTCCTCGAAAAATCTTCCCCCAAGTGGTCCTTTCTGTGATATCTTCAGACCTACCGCGTAGTATTTCAAAATGCCCGAGAAGGAGACGAAGCCATATGACCGTGCCCAGGTAGAGGCTTTTAGGGAGCTTCATATTAGCAGCGCCACGGATAAGGAAGTCGTGATTCGAATGCTCCGCAAGATTTATGACCCTTCCAACCCCAGCAACCCGCATCAGTTGAATTTCAGAGTAAAGATAATAAGGAATGATATCAGTGCTAAGCTCCGAAAAGCTTTGAACGACAGAAAGTTTCTGAATGAGTTACCCGACCGCATCCCGAAGGGAGATCTTGATGACCTGGCGGTAAAGCTATACAATTTGGCTGTAAAGTCGCATAGACTTAGAGGTTGGGGTGGCTGGGGTCTTTCCAAGAGAAGTGAAAGTGCTTCCTCAGCTCCCCCAGTCTCCTCAGTCGCGAGTACTCCGCGTTTTAATCCAAACGACCAAAGGCCATTCGAATTCACCAAGGCAACAGTCTTGCCCAACGTCGATATTCAGATTATTCGTGCAAACCGTCCCGACAAGTCCGTGGCATATCGACTGTGCGACTTCATAAGGGATGAATGGGAGCTCTCGGCACGTAGTGGCGATGGGAGCTGGGTCGATGGTTCCAGACTCCAGATCGAGCGACTCAAGGCCGCACTGTTGGATACGAAGCACCTCAAATCCCAAGATGAGACGCTGTGGTGGAGCCCGTTGCCTTTGCACCTTATCGATGCGTCGAAGGTCAACATGCAGGCGGCCGAGGATGAGGAGATTCTTTTGACGAATGCGAACTTCTTTTCTTCTTTGCAGCGCTACGTCGAGATCAATTTCCCCCACCTGGGTCCTGGAAATCCGTCGATTCAGGAGGAAGGGTATATTGAGATTCGGCCGATTATTACTCTGATTGTGCGATCCGAGGATGCTACTGGTAAGCAAACACTTTATCAATCCCAGTCAAGCACCATCATGACCACTGTCGAGGCATATGCCTCAGGCGCTTCAGATCGGTCTATATAACAGTCTCCCCTTATTTGTCTTCATCTATCATCCTCACATACTTTCATCATCACCCCCTCCTCCCTCATGGTTGCATTTAACCTCCATTATCAATCACATACTGATTAAGTCCAACAGGCGGGGCTTTTCCCAGCAGCTACGAGTCAAATATTTCTTCTCCAGGTCCACTCAGCTCAGTCACTTCTAGCACTAGTGATCCAAAGAGATTCTCTCGATCGAGAAAGGATCGTGCTGGAGACATTCTTGACCCAAATTCCCCATTGCTAGGCCAGCGCCACAGTAGCCCTCCTCGCAGAGAACCAAGAGGCAAAGAAAGATTCTCTCTTCCTCGAAGTGAACGTTCTGGATACACTCGTGATCCGGACGCTCCACTTGTGGGCCAGCACCATAAGGACAAGCCTCCTGCATCGTCTTCCACAGGACTCCAATACAGTCCATCCACCGCACACTGGATTGGAGGAGGTCCAACAAAAGGACAAGTTCTCACCGGTCCCTTTGAAAAGTGCAAGAAGGACACCATGTCGAAGGCTATTGCAGAACGTGACTCCAAGCGAAGAAAGCTCGACCATAAAATTCAGTCCAAGCTCGAAAACCTGGGCTCTGAGTTTATGTCTTACATCAACGAGTTTACTACTACGAAAGACCGAGCTCTAAGCCAGGATCTCGCTCCTCACATCGACTTGGCTACCCAGTTTCTCAACACACTCACCCCACGATTCGAAAATTCTGGAAGTAATGATACCGAGGAGAAAATGGTCGACTTCTTCGAAACGGCCCTTGACATCTTGTACCGGACTGCATCGTTTCGCGAGGGAGTCATTTCCGACCACACCATTCCATTGATGACTACGCTGCTGCAAAAGATTCTAACAGCTATCGGCGATCTCGATGTCGATACTTCCGATGAGTCTATCTTGACCCCTGCCGCGGACATGGCCATTCTAATCCTAGAATCAGCGTTCCAAAAGTTGGAGCAGGAGGACGAAGACAGGGGCCTGTTTGCCATCTGCGGTATATCCACATTGGTCCTGAATAATCTCATCACCAAGTTAGTTTGGGGCCCTAATCAAAGAGATATGGTTTCTGTTATCAAACTTGGTCAGCAACTTCTTAGGGAAATCAGCGCAGAATTGCTCGAGAGTAACGAGGATTCACACCTTGGCCATCTCCTCGCTATCGGTACCGCAATTACGGTTAAATTGCAAGAAAAGGTCGACGGGGTCCGAGATGATGAAGAAGATGACGAGATTTGGATGTTCAATACCACAAATCGCCTTCTTGTCCTCAGCATTGAGCGAATGATGAGTGGGCTGAAGGATGGCACCGCTGAAGCTAAGGTCAACCGTAGATGGTATCATCTATGCCACCTCTTGGAGCTTGCGGAAGACTCCCCCCTTATTAAGCTCAGCGATGACGGGTACGAGGGACTTATCATGGCCCTCGTCGAGATGACCAAAAGAATCTTCGGCTCTTCGAACGAATTACTGGAGCAAGTCATCGTGCTTTTAGATTCATTGGCCCCAATCTTCGAGCTATATGGCACCACCATGGGCAAAATTCAGCTCGAAATCCGTCACTCGCCAGAATTATTGACTTATATCCTGGAAATGGGTGCTGTCATCTACAACGAAGTGATGCTAGAACTTCGCCAAAGTGGTGCCGAGTTCATCACCCTGGCGAATGCAGTTTCCGACTTCACGAAGATTTGTTCTCTATTCCTGGACCTCAGCGCCAGTGCAGAGAGAGAGAAACTGGATCGCAATCAAGCGAAGCTAGACTCTTTACGAGTCATGGCCAATTTCCTAGAATCTCTTAGTACCATGCATCAACCAAGCGATGAGAATTCAGCCACCGGCAAAGCAGAAGATGAGAATGATTTCGAACCAACCACCCTAAAGCGTTCTAATTCACTCCAAAAATTCTATCGCAGCTACTCTGATCTTCAGAAGGACGACGAAGAGGCGTTTGAAACTAAGACCTGGGAAACCGAGACAGAGCAGTCTCATTTTGACCGCCTTGAAAGATTGCTCAAGTTTATCGAGGGAGAGTCTATTCAGAGCACTGCAGATGATGGTGGTCTCAAAGAATGGAAATTTGATCCAGGACAGTCTGCTCTCCACAGAGCTCAAGAGATTCTCGGTTTCATGCGCAGTCAGACTGACTCGAGTCTTAACAGTTCCATTTTGAAGCTTGAGGATATCCCCGAATACAGCGGGGAGAGTAGTGAGGAAGGCAGTGAGCAGGGCAGTGAGAAAGGCAGTGAGCAAGGCAGCGAGGGAGATGAGGACGAGGAAATGGAGTAGGCGTTTCTTGTGGATGTGTGGCTGTTCGTTGTCAGCTCTTAGAGATCATGAATTTTAGTATGGGTGGCTATTTTTGATGATTCGCTGGATATTCTCTTTGAAGTTAGGAATTGGGTTGGGTATTGCTCCTTAGTTATGCTTTGAGTTTGTTAGTGTATTTGGTCTGAATTGAATTTATTGCAAAATTGATATTCACTTTATCTAATTAAAAAGTCTTGACAAAACCCTGCATTCAAGTTACGAAGGTGATTCCGCACCCAGAGTAGAAAGAAAGGCCACCGTGAATAAAGTCAATTGCACTGGCTCATTACAGCCGTCTCTCGCAAAACGAATTAAGACACTGGGGTATCATCCGCCATCAACTACCATAGATAGGTATGAAGGTGGGCTATCATACAAGCAAAGGAAATCATCGCATCAAACACACCACCGAGTCAGACCACCCACAGGTCAGCCCGGCAAAGGCTTGCCACTTTTTATTGAATATCTTGATTTGTCGCAGGGGCAATTCTTGACATTTCGCGTCGCTAGGGCTCATCAAATTCCGTTGTCGAATAGTCGCAAGGTTCTGTCACTTATCACACGGGTCTGTTACTATCTGTGTGTGTCGCGTAAGGGTCCGTATCCGAATCAAGGCGCATCATGGGTCAAAAGCGAAATCAAAAGAAAAAAAATTCCGAAAGGGCGAAAGGGTTGAGGGTGAGTTCTGAAGGTGAGGTGTGTTCACAGCGGAAGTCATGAGCACGTTGGTTACTCTTCATCGGCGCGGGCGCCGTGTCCTGCAGTACCCATAGTTGAGGTATCGTAGCCGTTCTGGGTCAGGTACTCGCGGAAGCGAGCATCTTCAAAAGTGACAGTGTCCTGAAAGCAAATTGTGAGTCGAGTCTGCAGTAATTTGATCGGATGGGTCTTACCTGGTTAATATTCGGGAGGAGGAACACGGCCAGCGCAGCACTGAGGAGACACAGGGCGCTAGAAACAAAGAATGGGTCCTGCCCAGCGCGAGTCGCATTAGGGGCATTCTTTTGGATAATGGGGAACACGTAAGTTCCCACAAAGGCTCCAATCTTTCCGATGGCCGCTGCGTATGAATAATACTGCCCACGGATGGCAGTTGCGCAGGACTTGGCTGCACACAGGCCGATATTGTCACCAGGACCAAATTCACCGAGGGCGAGGAAAATTCTGTTCCGTCAATTAGCTACCCTAAGCTTGACAAAGAAATTGAAAATTTCACATACCCATAAACCACGACAAAGGCTGCTACATTCTCGGACGTTGCAAGCCACTTGTAGCAGCCAGACATGATGAAACCAATTACACCCTGCAGAAAGACTCCCAGGCCAAGAGTATTCTTTGGACCCATCCAATCACTGGCGAAAGCACCGAGCGCGGAGCCAGGAATGTAGAACATGTATGTCACCGTGGTCCAGCCAAATGACTTCCACAGTGGCGCATCGTCGCCGATTATGAGGGAGATCCAGGCCGAGGAGTAGATTCCAAAAGAATAGGCGGAAAAGTCATAAATGAACCAGATGAGGGAAACAGTGGCCTGGGTATATATGTTAGCTAGATAAAATTTCTAAGAAATGGGGCGTGAGCGTACCAAACGCTTCCAGTAGAACCTACGATCATTGATTAGCATGGTGCACATGGAACGATACAGGGCAACTTACTTGATGATCAACCACACCGGAAACGAACGCATGCGCTCCCGGCTAAATTCTTCTGGCTCCTTCAATTTCAAACGCAAGTAAAGAAGACTCAAAGGCGGAATCACGCCCAAGCCTAAGGCCACACGCCAGGCAGCGCGTTTATGATCCTCGGTGAAGATCAACATTAGTATCATAGGAACTAGAGCCGAGACCACGAAGCCGAAGTCAATTTGAAAGTTGGTGAACATGATAAACCAGCGGTTTCGGTGGCCAGCCTTGAGCTCTCCTGTGTTTTCAGCACACGCGACGGACCCAGCAGGGTATTCGCCTCCAATGCCGATACCGATGAAGAAACGATAAGCCGTGAGAGCAGCAAACAAGCCATACTGGCTGCCATTTAGACCATAGGAGCCCGCAGACAGAGCGGCGAAGACGAAGAGGATGATAGTGGAAATCATCAGAGACCACTTGCGAGAATAGATATCGCTTGTATAGCCAAAGATGAGCATACCGACGACCGTACCGGCGAAAGCAATGGCGGAAACATTTTGACTAGCAGGAGAATTTGCATATGTACCCGGGTAGATTTTACTCAGGATGGTATTGACTTGGCCAATAACCTATGTAGAGAAACGTGGGTCAGCTACGGGGGAGATTCCACAGATCGCGTGGGTATGTGGGACGACAGGGGTAGCATCAGCTACTGTACATACACCATTCAGATAGCCATCGGAGAAGAGACCGGCACCGCATGCGATGGTTGGCCAGCTGCGCTCCCAACGACTCTTAGTCGGATCATCGAGAGGTGCAACCTCGACCGGGCTGGCCTCGACGGAGCGGTCTTCCTGGAGGCCCTTCTCCTTGGAATAGTCCTGTTCGACCGGAGTACTCATTGTGACTGATCGACGGAAGTTGCGGGGGGAGCTGAGCTCCTTGAGAGGGTGTGAATGGAGGGTAAATAAACTCGATGCCGCAGGTGTCGCGAGCACAGTAGGACGGTATCACCCGATGCCGATGCAATTTGGGTACGTGTTGGATCGAGGAAGCAGAAAGTGAACGAACAAAAAAAGGCCTGAAAGAAGGGAGACGCGAGGAATAAGTAGGGCTAAGAGAAGCAGACCAGGAAAATTAAAAGTCAAAAGAGTCGCTAAGCTGGACTAAGAGAAAGTTTAGCACGGATGAGATTGTCTAGCCCGGTAGAGCAAGTGGTAGCCTCGAAATCGATCCAAAGCAGGAACTCCCCCAGTGCCAGAACCAGGGCATATCGCGGCATCCAAGTACCACCCGAGTCCGCAGGTTGTAGCGGGGTGTGGGGCGTCCACTGGAGCGGGTGGATGTGCCACGACGCTGCTTTGGGTCAAGCATTGTTCCTAAGGTTAGCTTGGACAAAGGGGGCGGCCAATGAAAAGTTTTGTTTCTATCATAGGGCACCCCCGGCCACGGGGTCTCCTCGGCGTGCCCGAATATGTATGAGTGAAAGTACAAGTACTTGCAATAGCTGTAGAGATGTGCACACGACCTAGATCGGGATTGGATATCCTTGTGAACCTTACCTTCTATGATCTGATAACGGAACCCGGCAAGGCCGCGCATGCTGGTAGAATTGGAATGCCGATATCCTATGAGTCCAAGCACGTGCGGGCCGTTGATCGGGGCCGAAATCATAGGGTGGGGAAGGTGGTGCCGTGGTGGTAGTCTTAGCAATGGCTAGCAATGGTTAGTCGAGGTTAGCTGGGGGTTAGTAGAAGTTTAGCGTGAGCCACTGCTATGTTTGAGGAAGACCTCGGGTGGAGGAGAAGGAGAAGGAGAAGGAGAAGGGAGAAGTGGTGGTGGGTGTGGGTGTGGTGTGGTGAGGGACCGCAGAGGAAAGAACATCTGCCTGCCAATGTACTATGTACTTGGCATTAGTATGTTATACTACTGTAGTATAGGTACTCCAGTGGATGGGATATGCTTAGTGGATAGTAGGTGCTCGTAGTACCTACTATCGACTAACCAACTGTCAATTTTGCTCTACTTAGGCGACCTAATTTACTGAGGATCGAGTAGTTACGTACAGAGTATACATACAATCAGGGATACTGCTGTCCAATGTAAATAGAAGATCATATTAGTCCTACTGCAGCAGGGCACGCGACCAGCTGCAAACTACGGATTAGCCTTTATACAAACTCTAGCTTGAATTAATTCAATCTATCGATCCAGCCAATACGTACGAGGCTGACGGCTGGCGCAGAGAACCGAACTCAGGCAGAAAGTGTGTCGCCTTGGTGCCTTGGTGCCTTGGTGCCTGAATCTCCGACTGGCTGATTTGATGCCTTAATTCTATGGTAACACTACGGCCCGGAGAAACATTCGGCCAGCTGAGCTTCCCAGCTTGATGATGCATCCCGAATCCCATCGAAACACTACCCATAACACCTTCTCTCCCATTCCGCTTTCCTTTTCGACATCTTCACTTCCATCGGCCCCTCGCAATCATGGGGTCTGATCCGCAGTATACCAAGTATCCCGACCTCCTCCTCGCCCAACATGTCTTCAACCTCTCCAACCCTGCATGCGAGTCGTCCATCCAGAAGTCCTCATTGTCCAAGTTGCAAGATGCCATCAAGGAGCGCAAGATGGCTCCTTTCTATAGGTACCTCGCCCATCCAGTTGAGGGCATCCTGAACAACTCCGGCGAAGGTGTGACGCAACACCCTCACACTGCCACCTCCAAGCCTCTGATCATCTCCGACATGCTTGCATCGCGCAAGTCTCCACAAAAGATTGACTTCCCTTGGGATGAGCAACTGTATCAATCTCTCGTGGAGGAGAACAAGCAGGAGCTCGAGACCTTCCAAAAGGAGGAGGACGAAGCAGAGGAGGCCGCCGGTGAGACTGAGGTACAAGCCGCGCGAGGGAAACGAGCCGAGTTCTGGGCTCGAGTTGGAGATAAGGTACGACTCGAAAGAAAGAGCTGTGGATATATCATTCTCCTTTTACTAATAACCTATCCCTGTATAGGACCGAGCTATTGAGTCGCACGAAGCCCTCCTCGATAAGATCGGATTCCTCGGCACCAAGATCGACCTGGTTCTGGCTATGATCCGCATTGGATTGTTCTTTGGAGACCGCGTGTTTGTCAAGAAAACTATCGAGCGGGCAGAGACCCTGGTTGAGAGCGGTGGTGACTGGGACCGGAGGAATCGCCTCAAGGCCTACAAGGGCATGCACCTGCTCACAATCCGTTCCTACAGCCTTGCCGCCCCCCTGCTTCTTGACAGTCTCTCCACCTTCACAAGTTACGAACTGTGCAGCTACTCTGCGTTGGTAATCTACTCCGTGCTTGCGGGATCCCTATCCCTCAAGCGGGTGGACTTTAAGGCGAAGGTGGTGGATGCACCAGAGATCAAGGCTATCTTGGGTGCCGGTGAGGACCAGCTGGCTGCTCTGGCCGGCGAGACCTCCGCCGGCCCGGGTGCTCGGGATGAAGAGATGAAGGATGCCACAGTATCAACATCAACTCCCACCACCGGTGCCAAGACTGCCGTTAACCTGACAACTCTGGCCACTGGCTCCGGCCCGCAGGCCGAGAGCGAGACCCCCGTCGACTTCTCACCTCTGGCCAACCTGGTCAACAGTCTCTATAACGGAAACTACCGCTCGTTCTTCGTGGCACTCGCTGCCGTTGAGGACCATTTCCTGACGCAGGACCGATACTTGCACGAGCACCGGGCCTGGTTTGTTCGTGAGATGCGGCTTCGCGCCTACCAACAGCTGCTTCAGAGCTACCGGGTGGTGGGGTTGAACAGCATGGCTAGCGACTTTGGAGTGACTGTGGACTTTTTGGACCGGTATGTTCTTTTCTCTCTTACTTTGGGTGATGTTTCGCAATGACCTGATCCATTTGACTGACTTTGTTTTTCTCAATTGCAGCGACCTGGCCAAGTTTATCTCCAGCAACCGCATTTCCTGCACGATTGACCGTGTCAATGGTATCATTGAGACCAACCGGCCCGATGACAAGAACAAGCAATACTCGGACGTGGTGAAGCACGGTGATGCCCTGATCACTAAGCTCCAGAAGTATGGACAGGCCGTCCGACTTCGTGGCAGTGAGCGCAGCTAGATTAGATAGGGTCAAATAGGATAGGCATCAGAGGGTTACCTAAGAGTAACTAATAACCACGGAATGGAATGACACTGATCTTCGTTTGCATGGGCCAATTACCTAACTACAAGAAAGGCATTCTAAAATCTCAAACCCAGTCAAACGAGTGAACGAATAGACGAGTGGAGGCTCCGATCCCCCACATGATGGGTGGCTCCAGAGTGGCCAACGGAGTCCACTCCGCGGGCAAGTGTCTTCCCGAGGGAACTTAGTGACTAATTGCTAGTAACTAACTAGTGAGCACTCGTAGTAGCACACTAACTGGTCTCCATTCTGCTCTACTCCAGGGATACTTTCTATCCCACTTTCCCAGATAGTCAATTCGAGCCATAGAATGATACCCTCCATCGTACCCTTATGGTCCTATCACCAGTTCTCGTCCGATAAATCGCTAAAATGACTCTTCGAACTCCGCATTTTATCGGGCTGTGGGGAAAACCATGCTGACTCATAATCTCACCGCCCAATCGGGCCCTGAAGATTATTTCCCTTTTATCTTTTTTTCCCTCAACCCCCCCCCTTCAGCCCCCAAGCCACACATTGATCGATCCCTACTAAGCCTAAAGGGAATACCCTACTGACTTCCTTGATCGTCATGTCCTGGCAATTTCGACTCGGCTCTCGCGCGCGGGCATCCCCGTTGTGGGCATCGGTGACCCGGCCGAATGGTCTCCTACTTCGCCCGACCGCGGCTGCGGGGGGGATTCTCCGCTTGGTCCAAGTCAGGTACGTTTAACGTCGGATGATTTGCGTTTGCCTTATATATGCGCTATATATGAACGTCGGCTGCCCCTCCGAGGGTATCCTTCGTCGTATGACAACATCGTTCCATCGCTTTACCCACTCTTCCCTCCTGTCTCTCAGGCGTCAATTCGATTCAATTCAATTCAACTCAACTCACTTATACTATTTTGACCTCAACTAATTGATACCCTCGGGTCAATTCACAGTGCCCACCATGACTCGCACTCAATCTACCCTCTCCGGAAAGGGCCTCTCCCTCGACAACATCAACCCTAACGTCAGAGCGGCCAAGTATGCTGTGCGCGGAGAATTGGCTGTCAAGGCCGAGGAATACCGTGCTCGTCTGCTGAAGGGCGACAAGTCCCTGCCCTTCGACAGCGTCATCTTCGCCAACATTGGAAACCCCCAACAACTTGACCAGAAGCCCATCACCTTTTTCCGTCAAGTTCTCAGTCTCGTCGAGAACCCTCTGTTACTGGAGAACCCAACCGCCCTTAAGACCTCCTTCGGATACAACCAGGATGTTATTGACCGGGCCCAGGCCCTCTTGACCGATGTGCGCAGTGTCGGTGCCTACAGCCACAGTCAAGGAGCCCTGGGCATCCGCAACAGCGTCGCCAAGTTCATCGAGGACCGCGACGGCTTCCCCGCCAACCCCCAGGATCTTTTCCTGACCGCCGGCGCCTCTTCCGGTGTCACCAGCCTGCTGAACGTTATCTGCGATAAGCCCAGCGCTGGCGTCCTGGTGCCCATCCCCCAATACCCTCTATATACCGCCACTTTGGCCCTCCTTAATGCGCGCTGCGTGCCATACCTTCTGGACGAGCAGAAGGCGTGGGGTACCGATGTCAAGGTGATCGAGAAGTCCATTGCCGACGCCAAGGCCGAGGGCACCGACGTTCGCTCCATCGCCGTGATCAACCCCGGTAACCCTACTGGTGCTTCTCTGAGCCCCGACGATATCAAGCAGGTCATTGACATCGCCGCCGCGGAGAAGCTGGTCATCATCGCCGACGAGGTGTACCAGACCAATGTTTTCAGCGGTGAATTCGTCTCATTCAAGAAGCGTCTCCGCCAGCTCCAGCAGGAACATCCTGGCAAGTACGACAACGTGGAGCTGGTTTCCCTGCACAGTACCTCCAAGGGTATGGTTGGTGAGTGCGGCCACCGCGGTGGATACTTCGAGCTGGTCGGCTTCGACCCCTTGGTCCAGGAGCAGATCTACAAGCTCGTAAGTATCGGTCTGTGCCCGCCGGTCGTCGCACAGTGTCTTCTCGAGACTATGGTCAACCCTCCCCAGAAGGGCGACCCTAGCTTTGAGCTCTACCAGAAGGAGTACAACGGTATCCGGGATGGCCTGCACAAGCGCGCCCTGGCCCTCTTCGACGCCTTCCAGCGCATGGAGGGCGTCGAGTGCCAGGAGCCTCAAGGCGCCATGTACCTCTTCCCCACCATCAACCTTCCCGCCAAGGCCGTCGAGGCAGCCAAGGCTGAGGGCCGTGCCGCGGACGAATTCTATGCCCTTGCCATGCTCGACGCCACCGGTGTCTGCGTCGTGCCGGGTTCCGGCTTCGGTCAGAAGCCTAACACCCTGCACTTCCGTACCACTTTCCTCGCCCCCGGCACTGACTGGGTTGAGCGCATTGTGCAGTTCCACTCCGAGTTCATGAAGAAGTACGGTGGACTCAGCAAGGCCCAACTCTGAGTAAATCTTGGATCATTTACATCTTTGATTTTTTGCACTTTTTTGGCCTCCCCTTTATATCACGTCATTATGTGAGACGACTTTGCGCCTTGTCGCTACCTTTTGCTGTGACCCGCTACCTTTCGCACGGGTTCTCTTTTTTCTCTTGATTTGATACCATCTAGACCACATATCCGTGGTGCTGGTCCCGCCGGTTTTTGGGTTTGCGGGCCGGTGTCCTTAGCATGAACTTGGTCTGGCAACAGGCTTGGATCGGATAGCTTTGTTTTTATAGTGGAAATATGCATCATCCATGCTAGAATAGAATGAAATATGCTCCATTGCATCTCAATTGTCTACCCGCGGAAACTCGAGTAAATTCTTAGTAGCGTTTCTTCTGGGCTATTCTTTTCAAAGTTGATACATTACAATCCAAATTTATGGGTGCCAACGAACAAGAACAAGGAATACGGGGCTGTCTGGACGAAAAGGCATGATCAATTGAGTGATGTCTCAGGGGATATCGGTAGCCTGTATATAGGAAGCCTTTGGAGTTCTCTGGGGTTTCTGGAGGACGGTAGGTGTTGACAGTTGGACCTTGTGACAATCCAGTTGAAGCTTCAGGGTTGAATGGGGATAGTTCCTACTAGTACTACTCGTAGTCGTTAGTATGTTGTTGGTGGGTGCCTGGGTGGCACCTATCATTCCCCGTAGCCTGCTTGCACTCCTGCCACACAATAAAATAACACTTCTACTCCTCGATATAACTCTGCAGTAACTGAACAATTTCTTAATGGCCATTTGACCTCACACCCACCAACGTTGTTTCTCTAAATACTTCATCTCGGTGAAGAACATCGATATAATCTACCGCCAAAAGCAGCCTCACTGCACCGACATGTCTTTGCATCGCAGCACTAATCAACGGAGTGACTCCCTCCCCGTGCCAACCATACCCATCCCTCTCTAGCTCAAGAACCTCTTCTGTGAAGGCATCCTGATACCCTAGTGTATTGACATCCACGCACCCATCTCCATCACACGCAAGAAGCAGCTTCAACGCCTCTTCCCGGCCGCACGTCGCGGCCCAGAATAAAGCGGTCCGGCCATCACCATTATGCCAATCGATGCAATGACATCCAAGTGAGAAGATAAATATGAATTCATTCTCTCGTTTTTTCATGGGTGCTTTACACCTAGCAAGACCCAGCTCCTTCTTCGCCCTTTCTATTTTGAAAAGAGGCGATTTAAGAAACTCTTTCATTATCTCCGTGCCCTTGTCCAAGGCTTGAGAATGGGTGGCCGCTCCAAGTCCCTCAAGATTTCCATTGGGCCGGTCCCAGAGGCAGATGTGGACTTGCCCCGGCTTGCAGCAATATCCGCACGACTTCTATGCGCCGGTATGCACGGCGAGGAACAGAGGAAACTGGCAAACCGTGTTGGCTGTATGCCATGATCAATGAGTTGCTTGATTATGTTGACATTGCCAACGAAGGAGGCATCCAGCATTGGGCCTCCAAAGCCATCGGCGTTAATATTTGGATTTGCGAGCAAGACACGAACAACGTCTTCCTTCTGGGCGATAATCGCTATTGTCAATGGTTTCCGGCGACAAGGGCTACCACGTCGGTTGATATTAATCGCGTCGATGCCCACAAAAAGCTTAACCATTTCCACATGTCCTGCCGCAGCGGCCAGGAAGAGGGGGTGGCGCCGCTCTTGTCGTGTTCATTATGCAGAATCCCCCACGGTTGATACCATTCCTCCTCGGGGGGCGGATGTTCGGTATTGATATTGGCGCCAAATTTGAGGGCTTTGCGAGCAGATTTCAAGTCGCCGTTCTCTGCGGCCCATAGCAATGCGAGGTCCGCATTTTGCCTCCACAGGCTCGAGTCGAGGTCCTGGTAGAAGCACCTGTTTGCCTGGACTAGAGCGTTGAGGTCACTGGGTGCCAACAGTTGCCCTATCTGGAAGATGAACTCGGGCGGAATATCAGAAATCGTCACGTCAAACATTATACCTGGATTTGATTTTTGAAGAGGGTGGGATAGCAAGGCTCTATCTTTCTGGAAAGTCATATTTGCTAGGCTCCGTTCGCTGTCCGCTTTTTGTTTGCTATGTATTTCTATTTGCTATGTATTTCTATTTGCCATGTAATTCTGTTTGCTAGGCAGGCTCTTGGCAGAGGCGCCTTGAGGGAGGATGTTCTCTATATGACCCGTAAACTGTTCTACTATTAGTAGCAGACCAAAGATAGCGAGCGATGGCCTGGAATATTGCTCCCCTTCTTCAATGGAAAACAGAAGTAAGTCAAGCCCATTTGGGCAGTAGCATGAGCAGTGACATACCATGATTCTACTTTGAAAAGCCATGACCGTTTGTTACTGTCACAGTTGACCACCATGTATCATTTCAGGTACTCGTACTAACAATCGGAGGATACGTACTCAGGTACACGAGATGCCGACTGATCCGAGTTGGAATGTGCTCATATTCAAGAGCACACAAGACACAGCCCTTTGGTATTTTCCGTGTGGGAAGGTAGAACCTCGGAATAAATAATGCATCTCCCTTGCTTCAGCCACGAACCCGGCAATCGCAAACGCAATTTCTGAAACATGGCCAGGTGATGTCAGAACAAGCGGCACTCTTGACCGGGAAATGCATTCTAAATTAATTGATCAGCTCCTAGAGCAGTTCATTCGGAACAAAGATCCAAGGACAAGGTAGAAAGACTATAAAGGCAATCCCGGTCTAGAGCCGGTCAGCAACTCCACAGGATAGCTCACTTCTTGCTCGTGTGACACATCCACAACCTCACACCAGCCCCAACCCTAGCTCCAGCCACCCAGCACTTCAGACAAAGCCAGGTCACCCCTGTTCTACCACGCGCCGTGCAGAGCTAAGCATTAGCCAAGCCCATGCACTCGAGGCTTGTATCACGAGAAAGCGGGTCAATCGGAGGCAGCGTATGTGTGGCATGGCATGCTGTACGTATCATATACCGGCGATGTACGAGGACGATCTTTTCATTGTGGCTGGCTGCTAGCTATGCACAAGCTCTCCTGACTAGCAAGAAACCTTGGAAAAATGCTTGGTATGCGGGCTTCACGCCGGCACTTTCGTTGGTATGCTTGTACACGTCCACCGTACCCGCTTCGGTGAACGGATGTGCGGTGGATGTTGAATACGAATCCTGTTACTGGAGTTTAATTTGGCTATGCTTGAATATCTTTTGGATGGTACATACGGAGTACTCTCAATGGTATTTCAGGTTGTGGCCATTCTCTTCGTTTTTGGTGCTCACCGCTACTTTGGAGGATGAAGCTTTCTTGTCAGGACTGAGTTTAGCAAAGCTTCCAAATCCAACTTAAAATATTAGAGTGCCTCAGAAATCGAAGATATAATCAGCGGCGGTAATGGTGGTTCCACTGACATTGGGGAGACATGGATATGGGGAGGTTCGAGTTCAAGTTATGCGGTTATCCATAGTTCTATGAAGCCCTGGAGGCACGCTACCAGCAGGCCCCCGGGTGAATAGCATATCGAGTTCAAGTTCAAGTTGTCATCAGTACTACAGTGGATCATAGCACATCATCCAAGAAATCTAATAACTTCAATACTAACAATCGATCTCCCGTAACGCTCTGCAGCCACAATCGAGTTAACCTTTCGCCGACTGCACGATGCAAAAACCTGCTTTGCGCTGAGGTGAGACACCAGCTCAGGTTGGTGGATTCAGCGCATGCTCACCGCCACATGCGTCTGTGAAACCATATATCGATATTGTTGTACCTAGGTCGCGGGCACGAACAGCGCCGACAGCACGCCCACGCCGACGCCCACGCCTTACCTCTTTGTGGTTCGGATGTTTTTGCCGAGAGCGCTCGTGCCCATGGGGCTACGTAGTGCGGCTGGGGAAGGGGAAAGTAGTTTACGATCGATCGATCGGGTGGGGGGGTTGGGGTTGGGGGGCAGATGCAGATGCAGATGCAAATTTGCGTCAGGTGAATGATTATCATGACAGGGTTTTGCGGTTAGGTATATGCAGTGAGACTGGTCAAAATTGCCATGTCAGATGGATGGGTATCTAGTATGGTGATATTCCGGTATGGGCTGGAGAGAGATTGTACATGTAAATAACACATTGGTCTATACATCGAGAAAAATCGAAGAAACACAATAGGAAAAAAAAAGTACGATCTGGATCATGTACAGTTTGTTGTGTAAGTGACTGAGTGAGAGTGTGCACTTATAAAACCCAAAACACGGAACCCCTCTAGATTGATGCTATCATGGAAGAGATCTAGGCTGGCTAGAAAGCAGGAAAAAATTTAAGGCATTTATCATCATCTCTCATCAAGGTCATATAAAGACGGTGTTGAGGTGGTGGTAAGGTGCCGCTAGACAGCGGAGACCCCGGGGAGGAGAAGGAAGAATTAGGACAATGAAAGAAAAGAAGAAAGGTGACAACATGACACCAGCGGCTACTGCGCCCAGGACTGGCGGAAGTAGCCCTCGTCCATAGGCGGAGTGGAGTCATCGAAGAGATTGGACGGCCAGACGGGGAGCGAATCCTGCGAAGTAGGCAGATTGTACATGTCCTGTGCAGGGACCGGCTTGGACTCGATTCCCATGCTAGCTTGTAGCTGATGCTCTAGCGCGGCGGTGGACTCATTAGCCGACTTGAGGAAATCATCGATGTTGATCGACGCGAGATCATTTGACGAGAGGAGCTGCGCTTGAGGCAGTCCGACCAATGAAGAAGCGGAGCTGATGCGGAGATGGTCCATGTCCGATGCCTCGCTGACGCTGTGCAGATCGTGCACGTCATTGTTGCCAGTGTGCGCGAGACCGGGGAGAGGTCCAAACTCATCGACTTCAGAGATGTCGCCAGAGGAAGACGGTGGCGGCAAGCCTGAGGGGTATGAGTTGTAGTCGAAGCTGGCATAGGACGGTGTCTGCGTGCTTGTTGAAGCAGGCACGTCTGAGTACAAGGGAAAGCTTGACCAATCGACTGATGGTGCACCCATGCCGGTCGATCCCTGAGGCACCTCGGAGTCGGGGGACGTAAAGTAAGGGTCTTGGTAAGGATCCTGGAATGCCATGCAGGTGATCGGAGAATTGGTGGTCGTGGTCGGGAAGGTAGTATATGTCGAGACATCGAGTGGCGGAGGTACGCTGGTGATGATTTGCTCCAGAGGGAACTTTTCCATAGTGGCGGGAGCAGATGTTGGATTGGAAGCATTATCTGCGGGCTTTTGATCCATTGAAGTAGTCGGCCTAGCAGGGGCGGCAAAGTTGTCGAGGAAGGACGGGCCGAGGGGGGTGGTGCTCGAAACATCCTCCGTGGCGGCAGCGGGTACACTGTCGGGAGAGCCATTCTGCGAGGTCTGTTGTGACTGCGATCGAGGGTCTATTGACAGGCTTAGAGGCTCGTGAATGAATGCCGATTGGGTGGTCAGAGGGAGGTGGTCCACGGATCGACGAGGCAAATCGGTCGGGTGGTGGATAGTATGAGACCGTGGGATTGTGTATGGCAATCCGCACTTGTGGGCCATGTCATTATGCTTATGGGCGGGTTTATGGTGACCGTCACGGAAGATCGTCAAGGTTGATTCGGACTTGGTTGACGTGAGGAGAGGCTTCCGTGGGAGTTCAGCAGGAACCGACGGATGAGGCACGGGCAGGCCAGTCTCCGGTACAGGGTCGAGATGAGGTTCCTTCTTCAGCGCACAGGTGCAGCGCTGGCCATGACTGCAGCCGCAATCGGGCGAGTCGGTTTTCTTCTTCTTGTGGTCGCCGCACTCGCATTTGACGTGGGTTGTCCGAGACTTGCGTAGGCCGCGGCAGTGGGTACATTGAGAGACTGGGCGGCCTTTTTTGTTGATGTGGGTCAAAGGGCGGTCTATGATGGCGAATATGTGAGTTAAAATGATCGGATCGTCACAAAGGAATGAGTCAAAAGAACGTGATCGACGTACCACTGTGGTGACAGCTGCTGACCCGGTGACCCCGGACGCAAGCTTCACAAGCCCACTTCTCACCTTCAATAAGCATCGCGGTGGTTACTGCGAGGCACACATGCGATGAATCGCGAAGGTTGTATATAATTGGGGTGTAAAGTTAAAATATTCAAAGTCGAAAAGTGTGGTCTTAAGAAAGACCACGCAATGCCGTCAAGGCGGAATCGACGAGAGTTCGGCCGCGCAGAGGGCGGGTTTAGAACAGAAACGAAGTAAAAAGGGTATCTGAGGTGAAGGTTTCCCAATGCGCGGAAGTTCACAGAACGCCGTTCCAGCAGTATACGGTGTGTCGTATCTGAGGGATTCTTTTTTTTGTCGCACGGGTCGCAAGTTGGGAGGGTCCCAAAAGAAGAAATTCAAAGGGTATCAAGAGATCAAGAGAGTCGAGTGTGAGGCTTGGAGAGAGGAGAGGAGATGAATGAGGAGGGGGGGAAAGGGGGACCAAGCCTACGCACCGTTTGGCGCCGGCCGTGAGACAGGACACCAAGTACCGGTAGTGGCGGCCAAGATAAAAAGCGTTCGATATAGAGAGTCGAGGAACACCCTATGCCATGGAGAAAAGAGGAGGAAGATGGGGCGAGGGTTAAGTAACGGGCATGGGATTTTCACTGCGCAAGTGGTTGCTGCAGTCCGCCGGAGAGAAGGCACAAGGAACGGGATGACCGTATCATTACTGTATTGTGACGGATATCTTACCAGTACCCTGTACGAGTATTGATCGGGTGTACAGAAGGTGTAGACGCTGTGTACGTAACAGCAATTGTCATTGCCAATGCCATTGCCATTGGCATTAGCATTAGCATTGTTCTCCAAGTTCCCAAGTTCTCCCAGGAGCCCCCAGAATGTTTGTACCCAGTACGGAGTATGAAGTATGGAGTGCCATCCATTATCCCTTTTGCGTGCGACCTGGACTGCAAACCCCCTTTCGCGGTGTACTGGGTATCCACTGTAGTCGAAGCCTCGGACGTGGCGGTCCCACCAGGCGGTTCTGGTCTCTCTGGCTTAGGGTTTATTTGGGCCATGATTCCCGATGATATCCATTGTGCGAAACTAGTTGATAAAGCCTAAAAAAAAGGAGACACAACCTTGGAAACAATACTATACTAGTACCCTATGGAGTGAGTAGTAGGGCATGGTCGCGAGGGCAATCCTTTTTGGGTGCCTGTCACCATATATTAGGTTCCAAGGTTCAAGTTTGCTTGGTATTCAAGACGCAGGAGGATACTCGTATGTATCTAACTGTACCCTGTACAGTCTCACATCATCAGAGCCGCCTTGCGTGGCGGGCCCTGCACGAGTTCCTCCCATTCACCCGATGGTCGCCTTGCAGCCTTCCCACGAGGAGAACATTCAGCTAACAGGAAACGCGGGAGGAAGGTACCTAGGAGGGGGGAAAAACCTGCCGTGCCACCGGTGATGGACTAGCAGACCGCCAGGAAGAATTCCCACGAACAGAACGTTGGGGACCTCAGCTCAGCCGGCGGAGTCTCCGAGCACGGGCTTCGCACGAACTCGAACCCCACCCCACGATGGATCTCGCTAGTAAAATCTGGGGCCGCACCTCCAAGCCTTTGTGACACTTGTATCCTTCTCAAGGCGCTTTTTTTTTCAGTCTTCAAGTTCCTTGTTGACCATGGTCGGTTTGGGGATGATTGGATGAGCAGGATTGGTGGTGCCAGGGGATTCCGATCACGCTAAATCATGATTTCAGGTACCAGATGTTCGAAGAAGTTTCCACGATCCCTGCAAGGCGCACCCACTGGAGGGTGATCATTCGTAACGCAACCAGAGACTCTCGCGTTTGGCGCAGTGTAGTGGGCGATCCGAAGGCAGGTTTGCTGCAGCGTATCTCTTATCCTATTCGAGGTCTGGCAGAACACGAGAGCCAGTGGCAAGTACAGTATGAGACTTGGTAGCATGTACTCCGTAGTACTCGTACATGTACAGTAATGGAGGACTACTCGTACAGCAATGATACGGTACTGCATGTCATAGCGTGGTTCAGGGCGGTTCGGATGGCGTCACTGTGTCTGCTTCGGGCGGGCTGCAGAGGGTTTTGGCGGCCAGCGGGTGGGCCCTGATCTGCGTATGCAACTGTGGACAACATCATGCCAATCAGATTCCCGAAGGGTGTGGATTCCGGTTACAAAACCGTACTCTTTGGACGGTGGGCTGAGGGCTCGCTGTATCGCTGTGGTACGCCGGGCTCATGCGTTGGCAGTACAGTAGTAGTAGTACTAGTACGAGGAGTAAATCGTGAAATCTAATTTAGGGACCCGTCGGGATGGGGATGGGGATGGGGATGAACTTGACAAATTGCGTTAGTCTCACCCAAGGTTAATCATGTCGAGAATGCCATCCTACATACAAAGCCGATCCGGCATCAAAACTGGGCTGGTTCTTGTTCTTCTGGAGCAACACCTAGACAAATCATGATATGATTGAACCTTGCACTGAGGGAGTAAGAGTAAGCGAAGACTATTCCTACTCGTTCTCTCCATCATCTTCATCGTCATCCTCGTCAGCATCCTCATCCTCATCGTCGTCCTCATCTTCCTCTTCCGTCGATGAATCAGCCGGGGCCTTCTTATCTTCAAGGAACCCGCGCCGGTACCGTCTAATTCGGTCATCGATATTCCACAGACTTAAGCCCATCTCTCTCTTTCGCTTGTTTTGTACCGTGTACCTCTCGCGTACCAGGTCGAGGAACTTCTGTCTGCCCTTCTCATATTTCTCGGGATCTGGCTCGCACCGAACTTGACCTTTCAGATCTCCCAATTCCTCCACATAAGCCCTATCATCATCGGCGATGTCAAAGCCCATGCAAACAGGACATGCCTGGTCCATCACAACACCATTCCAGGTGACAAGACTCGGAAACATTTCTTCATGATCTTGTTCCTCGGGGTTCCAAAAATCATTGAGGCAGAGAGGGCATAGCTTCCGAAAGTAATCTCGAAGCACATCCCTGGTAGCAAGTTAACTACTAGTTACCACACATTCGAGAAATCATTTCAGGCTGATCAGCTCACCTTCCATGGGGATTGACGGTAATTCGAATATTATCGTATTGACGGTAGATTCTGGACAGGGGGCGTAGGACTTCTCTGAGTGACTTGACCTCTGGATTTTCAATCTCCTCTCCGTCCTCAGGCTCATCTGTGACATAGTTTACATCTGGCCCGAACATACACCACCGACCTCGTGTGGCCGTTCTGGAATATAGTCCCCTGGAGACCATGATGGAATCCGTTCGCGGACATGGTGGATTGTCATCTGGGCAAGATCGCACAATCCAGAGGTCGGCTCCTTGGATATCGATTTTGGAGGGAAAGACCATGATGATGTCTTCAACCTCCACTGGCTCCGCGAGTCTTTCAAACATTGTGGGCAGTGGGCAGTGGGCAGTGGGCACTGGGCACTGGGCAAACCTGGAATCTTGGTAAATTTGAGACGAAATGTAAGTCGCAAAGGGTTGTGATGGAGAAGAGGTGAGACCAGGTGCGCCAGTGACGGGATCTGAAGGTGGTGAATGGGACAGCGGCAGGCACGGAAACATGACAACATTCACAGCAGGCTGCTAGCAGTGCCCATACTAGTAGTGCCTGCTATAATACCTGCTCGGGTAGGCGTGTAGTCATACAGTGCATAGAGTCTATACTGCGAACGGGTAGTGTCAAAGTAGATCAATGTTAGTTCTCTCCAGATGGATGCTATGTGAGCAGCATCGTCAGTAATCCAACGTGCCAAATACTAGCAGTTCTCACTTCCAAGGTTCCCTGTGGTTCAAAGTACCTAGAAATACTAGATATACTAGTACTACCCTACCCTAGATCTGCTGGATATAACGATAGTCACTGGCAGTGGCCCCGGGCGGGAAATAGTGTTAATCCGCTGGACACGCAGAAACGAAAGGCCGTCCTCCGCTCCGATGAACTATACCAATCTATATACTCTATCGACTCCATCTCCGTAGTAATGTAAATCCTGTCAGAGATCTCGCAAAATGGCAAAATGTTGGCGTTGCTCGATGCGGCCGCGCTAGCCCCTGCGATCGATTCCCCCCGCGAATTTTTTAGTTTAGTTGGGAGAGGGAAAAAAAACCTTGCCTCTGGCACTTCGCTCTTCACATCCTTCCATCTCCCCGGAAGCGAGCCCTCCCCCAACACATCAATCTTCCTGCTATTTTGAGTTCTTTTTTTAACAAAATGAACTCCCGTGAGCAGTCTGATCTGCCTTCCGCCCCCTCTTACCCATCCCCCAATGGTGCGCAGATGGCCCAGGGCGCTATGCAGTACTACAGCAACCGCCAACTGACGACCGACGAGCTTCTATCGGCTGAACTGTCGCGCGAAACATCCGGCCCTGGCCTTGGTGACGGCTCGAGCAATGGCGTCCACCACGGTCAGTCGATGGTTCTGGGCTCCAACAATCCTGGCGACATGGGCCGTCCCTCGTCGGAGGACCAACACGCGCATCAGCACATCCTCCATCAGTTTACCCCAAGCCAGCAGGTCGGTGTGGACCCAAACCATGACCTCAGCTATGGCGAACAGAGCGCGCGCAAGCGATCGAAAATCTCGAGGGCCTGCGACGAATGTCGGCGCAAAAAGGTATGTCAAGACACTCGCCGCGCGACGCGTGACCCACTCACTAACAATTCGATTTCTCGTCTCTAGGTGCGATGCGACGCGAGCTCGGAAACCGGCCTGGAAACATGTTCGAATTGTCGCCGTTTGGGAGTCGTCTGCCAGTTCAGTCGCGTGCCGATGAAACGCGGCCCTAGCAAAGGGTAGGATGAACCCGCGCACACGACCACAAGATGATCTCAACTAACCCATTTGCAGTTACATCAAGGAACTCGCCGAACGTCTTCATACCCTCGAAAGTCAGATGCAACCTGGAATGGCCCAAGATGTCCCCTATCAAGGCATGAACGAAGTTTCCCTCGGAAGAGGTTATCAGGACTTCACATCGCCAGTGGACACAGGATCGGCCAATCGCAAGAGAACCTACTCCGTTTTTGAGGGCCTCCCAAGCTCTTCATTTGCCCAGCCTTCATTCAATACTCGCGGGTCACAGAATGCTTTCGATGGAGCAGATGCGACGGCGGACCCATACAACCCTACTGTCGCCAGTGGCGCTGCGCCCAAGCCTGGCAACCTGTTCTGGAACCCGACTGGGTCGGAGCAAGATCTGCCCACTGGTCTTGAGATGACTGAGCTCCCCCGCCACGAAGGAGACGAAGACATGAGCCCCGTCACCCTTGACGAGACTGCCCTCGACGTTTATTACCAAGAAGTTCACACTCTCTTGCCAATTCTCCCACATACCAAAGAGCGCACGCTGGAGCTTCTCCACCAATGCCATCGCGAAGCCCAGGAAATCTTCTGCTACGCGCTATATACGGTCACTCGTACCGATCTAACCCGCGTTGCGGGGAATTTTGAAAGAGTAACCTCATTCGGCCACGCGCAAGACTTGCTTCTGTTCCATACTCGCCAACCATTGATTGTCCACTCGACACCTGTGAACTTGATTTGGCTCCAGAGTCTGTTGTTGATGACCATCGACTGTGATACACGAGGCCCAGATAACTTGGTGGGCAATGATAGCGTGCCAAAGCACACTCTGGTATCGGCCGCCAGCAAACTGGGATACGATCTGGCCAAGAGTCAGGGCCAGTTGAAGAGCAAGCGTGCTTCAGACCCCGATATTGACTCAGAAGCCAACCTCACTAGACGCATTTACGTGTCGTTGATCATCTTGGCGCGGTGGTATGCGATCAGCGTAGCCGATGCCACTGTCCTCAGTGGACAGGAGATTGGCGGTCGTGAAGATGAACGGGTTGTCGGTCAAATTACAACAGGCATTGCTTGTAAGTTTTAAAGCGCGTCGCTTCAACTGAACCAATCAATACTAACTTGCGATTTAGCTTATTCGACCTTCCTTTCTGAGATGGTTACATTGGCCACCGTCGAGCCTAATGTCTGCCAAACAAATACAGGACTGGGCCGTATGGTCGGAGCCAATCTGGTCGCCTCGCTTGAGCGCCTTTCGGATATGGAGGACATTTTCAAGATCCACGAGCTGCCCGAAAACAGCACAGCCCGCCCTCTTTTCGAAAGCCTTCAATCTCAGCTCTACTGGACTGTCCGTCTATTGATCAAACGTCATGTATTCGTCTACAGCCCATACGAGATTATATACTGCGCCCAGGAAGTCATCAACGAGTTGCACAAAGCAACACACCAGAACCGGCTCCAAACACCCTTCGACCTCCACAGCCTGGCCCTCGCCTCAATGACCCTCCTCGAAGCCACAGTTCTTCCAGAATACGCAAACGAATGCTGGGACTCTTTGCAGAAGGTCGAAGAAATACTCGACCGACGCTCGAAGCGCGCTGCCTCGGCAGCCGAATTCGAAAACATTTTCGGCACGCCTAGTTGGGACGCGAAGATCCGGGTCTTCCTCGAGTGGCGTCGCATCAAGTCGCAAGAGAGTCAGCTGCAGGAATCGATTGGCGCCATCACAAAGGTCTCCGGCCAAGGGTCTGGATCTCAACCACCGATGGGACCGAACGAACAACGCTCCCTCCAGCATCTGGCCGATCTCGCCGTTGGTGCCGAGGGCTCCGTGGCTCAGAACGCGCCATCTACCCCGCCGCCCGGTCTTTCTGCTGAGCACGGCGAGGGTTCGCCAAATCTTGCTCCGCAGCTGATGCAATCACAGAGTGGTCTTGGCCGCGTCATCGTTGACTTCACCATGCTTACCAGAGAGGGATACTTGAATGTCTTCTCTGGGTTGATCTATCGCCGGAACCGTTAGATGTTGTACTACCAATTGGCCTGGAATTTGCTTGCATTTTGCTTTCCAATGACCCGTACCTTGATTGTTCTGTTGTCTCTGCTTGGAGTTAGGGCCTGTTGTAGGAAATACCTCTGTCTCTTTTATATGCCTCAAACTCGATTTCAATATATCCTTTCTTTTTGTCGCATTCGGTCACCTCTCTACTTCTTGTTCGGACGGTTGTTTGCAGTCGGAAGGAATATAATATTTGCTCTTTTTTTCCTTAGAATACCGAAGACGTAAAGAATGCCCACCGGTGGCTTGGCGAGTGCCACGGTCCACGGGTGTTTTGTCCTATTCCATTTCTATAAAAAGTTGTTAATAGTACCTAGGTAGTCTGGAGTAGGACTTCAACCTTGTCAATAAACCTGAACATTTAGTAGTCAACTGGATTAGTATAATGCTGCTAATGCTATATCAATCAGGCATCATGGATTGCGGGAAACTGTGGCATAATTCGGGCTGAAGGATCACAACACACGCCTGAAAATTAAATATATCAGCAACTAATGGGATGGTGAAATTGCAACACATGAGCCGTGTCATCCGAAACGAGAAGGGCGAAAAGAAAAGGAAATGAAGAAATCACTCCCTACTTCTTGATGCCAAAAGCAAAACGTCTCCACGTCGCTTCGACATCCTGGCACAAAGTCATGAAGCTGTCGTCATTAATGAGCTCGCACATCCAGTTTTCCAGAAACTCCACACGTTCTGGATTTGGAGAAGAGAGATAGGCCGAAAGTTGCTTTTCGATGGAAATCGGAACCGCATGCTGCGTCGGTGATTGCGATCGTCTAACTTGGATATTGTTCGAAGTACTATTCCGAGATACCGCCGTGTAGACAGTTGTGGCAATTCGCTCGGTTGGCCTCTGGGATTGAACCTGGTTCTCCTTGTCTCTTTGAGAGTAGGGCTGTGTGCTTACTGGTTCCATCGGTTCTGGGTATGGCTGTGTTGGTACAAGTGATTGGGACGAGGCATCCGACATAATAGTATCACTGCGCTCAAGGGTATTGCGGTTGGCCTGATTCGCGAGTTGGCTGACCCTCGAAGATTTCGGCTTTTCTGCAGCCGGTTCATTTGTGGATTCTGTTCGCTTTCTCTTTGTACCGGGTTTGAGGAAGGGTAAGTCTCTCTTTGGAGGGAGGACTTGGTTCAACTTCTGGATGTCATGATATCCTTGTGTTGTAGTAGGTCGTGAGCTCGTCTCGGTATACGCTGCCTGTTGCACCAGCCCGGCGCTTTGCTCAATGGATGGTATATGTAGCATGGGTCTTGTTGGTCCCAATTCTTGGTCAGTGGGCAACATAGTGCCTGGGGTGGTGTAGGGAGAAGGCGATGGGGGGGTAGGGTACTACGAGCGTCAACATAAGGAAGGATAACAGGCATAGAGCCGGGTGAATGGGTCATACCTGCTGGCCCCTGGGCCATTTCATGAAAGGGACCGGTAGCATTGCTTTCTGGAGTCATTGCTGTGTTTCCATTTTTCCATATGATAGTCGGCGCCTGAAATGATGCCCATGAGGATGAGGACGGTAGCCGTCGCGGGGGCTGCTGCACTGCTGTTGCGTTACCCTCAGTAATAGGACAGTTAATTTCGCAGAGGAGTGAAAGTGCTGTATAAAAATCCCGATCTGCGAGAAACTTGAGTTGGAAGCGGCGAATCTGCTTCGGGATATCTTTTGGTCAGCCGTTGCCTTCGTTCATTGAGTTCTTGTCTTCTGCGTACCGATCCGTTTTGTGGGTATTTCACAGCCAGGCAAGGCGATTTTATCACAACGGCGAATGGAGATTTTGATACAGATCCATTCTGTGACGCGTTGGATTGTACGAGGCGTGCGATGTCAATCTGTTCCTATTTGTGTTCGACTCGCAATCAGCCTTCATCGCGAATGATTTTAATTGATTCGAAAGGAGGGGAGTTGACAATACCAGAACAGAATCATTTCGGATCACTTTCATAATAAGTTTCGACGATGCGGATCCGGTGGCTGCAAATTTATCGAAGATACAGACAAGATCCCCATTACCATTGAGATGACTCCAGGATAGAGGACCGGGGTGGTCGATCGGGGTTGTAGTGTATGAGAATTTGGCCAGCGATAGACGAGTCCCTGAAGAGTATTCTTGTCGAAATTTGGACTGCTGCATGGTGGTGATTCTTCGAGGCTGTGTTGAATTGGAGAGTGAATCAGTAGATAGAGTGTAGAGGTGATGGGACTCTAGTATAGTTACAGTGTATGCCACCTATATTCTCAGGCATCAACACTAGTCCCAAAAGGGGAGACTCCCCGGAGCCGGAACAACCAACTTCCGACCAACGCGCCTGGCGAAATGCGCGGACTTTGGCTGATCGTAGGATCAGTTTGGTTGATCGCAAAGCCACAGCTCCTTCAGCCCTCGAGGGCCCGCGTATAAGGAATTGACAATTATCCACCCTTTCACTCCTGTCGCCTGGTGCTACCCACCTCGCCCATCTTTTCATTACCCCTCAACTTCGCCTGGTCAGCAACTAGCTCTTCATCTTCGCCTGCGCTTCCTTTGAGCCTTCGTATCGAACGCGCCTGCGCACTGTCCCTATCAAGGTCATCCAACGATTCTACGCATGACGAATCGATCTATTCTCCTTGACCTGCGCCGTATTTACCTTCCCGAAAACATTGAAATCGCGAATCCTCCCCCTACGATTTGATTTTCTGGTTGTTCGATTCGCATCCTAGATCAACCCCAAGGGCGTCGATCAGCTACCGGTGCTGTTCCCACGACTGTATCCCGGTATCTGAAGAGGATTCGGTCTGCCTGATATTCGCTTCGACCTGACATTAGCCAAAGGGTTTAGGAAGGGCAAACATCGCAACCCTTCTGCACACTGTGACTGCATACCGACTGTGTCTAGCTGTCGCGTCCGCAGAGCCTCAAGATGTCTGCTACCACACCCCAAAGAACATCCCTGCGACGTAAGAACCCCTATCACCACCTCCTACTGAAATATGCTAACATGATACAGAGGGCTTGCGCCAGGCCCCCAAGGTCAATCAACCTTTCATTCCCGACACAGCGCCGACCCGCCGTTCGCATCACCACAGCTTTACATCTCCCCAGCCCCAAATGTCTCCCCATATGACCATGAATCCCGCAGCGAACCCGCAGAGTGCACACTTCGCAGTTGATAGCTGGGAAGGGAAAGGCCAGGCGCAAATGCCGATGTCTGTCCGGGAAGTTCCCACCCCAGGTAACCGACCGGGGCACTTTGCCAGCCTTTATGATACCCGGAGTAAAGCAGCCAAGGCCCCTGATTTCTATGATCCATACTTCCCCCTCCGATACCTCGAAGTGCCCCGAAGTGAGTCCTCTCTCTTATTCTACCCATGGCATTCATTGCCACTGACCAACATTGATTTCTAGCCGATCACATTTACAAGCGCGCTCACTACGGCCTACAGTCTGGTATTCAAGATGAGGTCGACTTTGCGCTATATCATCTGGTCCAGATATCCAACCAAAGATGGGACAAATTTAAATTTGAGGGATTTCCACTGCTGGCGGAAACTCTCATGCAGAAGGCGTTAGACGTCACATTTCTTTGCACAGGTGTCAAATGGGAATTTGAATATGACCCTCTCAAACCGTCCGACCGAGTCAATGTTCTCAACTCGTTGCATGGAACGCGAACTGTTCTTGACAAGATCCAACAAATCCCGATCACTCTGCCGTCCGATACGCTGGAGACCTCCGAGTCCAACCACTTGATTCGGAATGTGAGAGAGGCAACTTTAGTGTTGCGCAATATGGTTCTACTCGCAGAGAATGCATTCTACGTCTCTCGGTATGCCAGTGGCCTTTTACGAGACTTTCTGGTCATTCTCATGAATTTACCAAATCAGCCTCGATTTACTGAAATCAAGAATGATGCGCTCGATATCGCCGAAGAGGTGACAAAATACATGCGGACAGACGCTCAAGACCCTCTTTGGGTTTCTCTCGTTGGCTTCTTGGATTCACCAGACCGGGCGCACATCATTCGGGCTCTTTGGGCATTGACTCACTTTTCCACAGAGCTAGAGGATGGAGATGTCAACCGGGCCATCGATCACATGTCCAAACCCACTCTCCAACAGATGTACTATCACACCCTCTTGGATCTTGACAGAGATATCCTGAGCGGTGCATTGGATTTCTGGTACCAATACACACTAAGCCCCGACAACGTCGAAACCCTGATGGACGTGATCAATTTCCCCACTATTCTTGTCCCTCGTATGGTCGCACTGCTCACGTATGAAGCGCGACCGACAAAGAAGGAGACCGTTCTGCAAGAAGAGAAGGTTGCGCCTCCGCCATCAGATATCCCTCGCGTTCCACACGAGCTTTTGGAGAAGCTGATGGAGCTACCAGAACCAGAGCGGAGCTCACAGTGGCTCCGTTGCTGCTTTGTCGAGGATGCTGAGTGCGAAATTACTCAAATTGCTCTCTGGCAGGCCTACCAAACTCGATTCGCCAATCCTCAACTTCCAGGTAGCGGTGTTCTTCCCGCAGCTGAATTCATTAAGAATGTCAGCAACACCTTTACGAATGCACAGGCTCAAGTCATCAATGGCCCCGGGACCAACACCAAATTTATTATCAAGGGTATTCGGCCATTGGAAACCGCGTATACGTTCGACGGTTTCCCATATCTCTACTGCAGGTGGGCAGATAACTCAAAGCCATCGAAGATGTGCCAACGCGCATTTGTCTCCCCGCCGATCTACGAAACCACATCTTTGGCGAGCACATGAAGCTGCAACCTACGGAAACACCCGGGAAGTTCAAAATGGAAGCTGCTGAAACCCCCATCCATGGTTGTCAATGGGATAACTGCACACGATTCCGAGTCTCTGGGCCTAGTGCCAATACTTCCTTGGTTGCTGGTCACATTATCTCTCATCTACCTGAGGATAGACCTGCTGATGCGGAACCTCCAAGCACCAAGCGTCCTATTCTCCAGGAGCGAATAGTCCGCAAGTGGTACTATATGGATACCCCGATCAACGAGAAGCACGAGCCGATTGGAGTTGCATACAAGGCAGCCTTGGTGTTGCGCAACATTGCTCGCGGCCTTCCTAACCGAGAAGCTATGAAGTATGGGAATGTCTCGTGGAAGAAGGCTTGCTTTGTGAGCCAACGTGCCAAGATCGTGGAGGTCTGGGACCGCAACCGTGCACTACGCAAGGAGTTGACTGAGTTGATTATGGTTATGGAAAAGGAAGTTGACTATTGATCTTCTCCTACTCTATCATCTGTTTCCTCTTCATGCTCTGAAATTCTTTTTACGCCTGGAGCACAATTTTCCGTCTTTTGTACGACTAATACCCTTTCCCCCAAGCCTGTCCTTTTGGGGCTATCTCACCAGGGCAATTTCCGACTGATGTTCTCCCTGGTGGTTTCATATTTTCTTCAACGACACCTCTTGGCTGCAATGATAGGCCAAGCGTGGTCTTATACGCGAAAAGTATAGCGGAGTTATTTCCTGCGGGATCCGGGGTCGGCGGTTTTTCGATTTTCCGTTTCTAAATGTTTTGGCGTCTGGTCGAGGAAGATAGAGTCTGCATTCTGTCCTTTGCTTGTAATGCACTTCCTTTCTCGGTGTTGCCTGCTTTGTTTGTGTTTTACGTCTCACTGATGATTCGTGTACCATAGGGATGGAGTAGGGGCAGAGTAACTGGGCGCATAGAGCCCAACAATCTAGTTGAATTTTTTTTTCTCCCGTTGGATATTTCAGTTCTGGTAATCCTTGATTTAAAGCCTCGGCAGGGAGGCTTACTCCGATTATGCCTTCTTTCAGTTGCAATCCATGAATGTTAATGATCATTTACTGATAGGGAGGACTGGGAGATTTAAAAAACATTTACTTTAGCCACCCTGAGGCACGGGGTCTTCCAAGGTTGACCACATATACACCGGCATCGGGGAAATGCTTGGTCGCTGTTTCCAAAGGTTCCTAACAAAAAATAATAACCTTGGAATTCACGTTCTATGATAACCAACTACTAGTAGTGCTACTACTAGTTAGTAGTACTAACTAGCAGTTGATGGTTGGAGAAAGAAGGGTAGCACTAGTTAGTACCTAGGAAGTAGAAGCCTGGGGCCGAAGTGTGGGGAGCAGAACCTTGGAATGAACGCCAAATTGAACATTACCTATTAGTAGTTAGGTAGACACACAAGGATTCAAGCTCTGACGACACGGCCCCGCCCCCCAACTTACCACTGGAACTGGCACTTGAAGGCTAATTATTCAAGTTACCCCCGTGACGGTGAGCTGTTGATTGCCCCCTGTGCTGCCTGCTACCCTCACCTATCACCTCCGCATCTCAAAAGCCAACCATGGGGTGCTGTCTGAGTATAGAAGACCCTCAGGAGAGGGCACTTGCAGAATATCGACAAACTGTCACGCCTGGTTGATCCCTCAACAGCTGCCAATCAGCTCATTGAACAAAGCTGACAACTATCCTTAGAAACCGTTCTTCATAACCTACACAACTATCTGATTGAGCATAGAACTCAGGAGCAAACATATCAGGCCATATTCGATGCATATAGCGTTCAAAATTCGCCCCAGGAGCAGCCATGTAAGAGACACTTGCTGACATTAAAGAACTAGTACCCGGATATCATTAAGGAGGTGATGGCTCAGACTGAACAAAAGAAAGCTTTCGAAATCATATCTTTCTAGCCAAATTCCCGGGAACAAGTATCCCGGCCGCAGCTGTTGATGTTCTGTGGTCGTGTTTCTATTTTTATGCCTGGCACCCATTCCCACATCATGGCAATGCGGATCCCGAAAGATTAGGAAGGCCCGAATTTGAACGTGCCTTGATACTCCTTGCCTATAAAATCACAGAAACCCTGGGATCTAGGTCTGGTAAAATGTGGTCAAAAACCCACCGGGTCTATGTGCATGGCAGGCCCTGTACATGCAGACACAATGTCGACCGGATCTTGCGAAGCATCAGTCAATTGAGTTCTGATATCCCTGATTCAAACCAAACGGCTTCATCTCCGCTTCGCTTATTAAGGACGGCATGATGGATGGTGTAGCCATGATTGAGCCCAATGATGTCAAGGGAATTCCAGGCCCTGAAGAACTAGCTCCACCAGCACAGCGTCTTCTCGACGACAAACGTGCTAGCTATCGCTATCAGCTACACATAGACCATCTTGCTATTCTGATGAGGATGCTAACTAGGGTCAAACTACATGAACCAACGTGGAGTCGGCAACACTTCCATTACGGCACTCTCGAGGAACCGACACCCCAACAAGATCAGCTTGTGAATATACTCGCCAAGCAATTCAACTGTCGGGTGGTTTCTTAGTGCCGGAATTTCTTTTCTCGAGTCTCAGACATTCTGGTAAGACTCTCCTCAATCCAGAAGTATAACATGAAGTCTAACCCAACTTTTCGGTTTTAGCCAAACCTCGAGCTACATTTCCATCTACTATGGGCACTCATATTCCAGCCTCCCATCCCAGAGACTAATCCGCTATTAGGAACACATTCACAGTCAGATTCCATAACACGTGACATTCTGCGTGCTGTCTCATTATTTGTACCTCCCGTCACGGAATTCCACGGCAAACCTGAACACCATCGGAATATTAGGCCCGTCTCGTTCGAAGCAACATGCCAATCGTCAACACAAGTGTCAAATAATACCTTGGCTCTCACCAATATCATCAAGGGTCTTAGAGAGAAAGGTACCGAATCTCGGCCTCGCCTTGTTCTTTTCTTTGCACACCAAACTCAAAACCAGAGCCACATCCCGGATGTCATAGACGCTCTTTACGCTGCAATCCCGAAGGAAAAGAAAGAAAAAGAACCAGATATGCCCGGGAAGCCGGTCAATTCAGAGCTTGGCCTTCTAGAAGTCAGCCCTCCGCAGCTCCTTTTCCAGCTTCAACCTACGCCGAGAATATTCGGGTTGAAAGATGCAGATAAATCTTCGTCATGGGAGATGAAAAAAAGGCAGTTTTGACGATGTGGCTGCTAGATACTGGATAGGCGATCCCCCCCAGGAGACAGAAATTGGCTTAGAGATTGATCCGACCACAAACCAAGTGACGCTCGTGCTGAATCAGGCCAACCAGGATCAAAATATGTACAATTACGTGCTCCAGATAGACAAGCAGAGCGAAGTCTCGGGCGAGAACCCGAGTGATGGTAGTAGGGAAAGCTTCACGGTTTCTCAGGCTTCCATCTACAGAGTTGACGGTGGTGATGAGTTTGACCCTTGGTCATCGAATAAAGACGGCGTGATCCGAAGAATTTAAATTGAAATGCGCATAGCTAGAAAATGATCCGGGCACATCATTACACTAATAATAGCCAGATTATCGTTTTTCATTGCCCCTGGAGCCAGCCCCATGGTGCTATCACCTGAAAATAAGATTGGAAGGCTGAAATGCCACGGGGCGGGCAAAATGCAAAGCGCGTCATACTAGTGAAGCTCACAATCAATAGCCCCCGTTACGGCCCCGTTATATGCCGCCGGAAGGTTGAAATTCGCTAGTACCCGAGACTAAAGAGAGCAGGGATATAAACTTGATTCAATCTAGACACTATTTTTCCTCGTGCCAACCTTTATTGAGCTATCAGTGGTTAGTGAGGATGAATTTCTCTCGCAGTAGCGGCTTCTTGCTGCCGCTCGCCCTCTTGGATGGCAGCAATGCATCGCATTCCATCGGAGGTTTAATCACTGGTGATAAGACCATGTGTGAGAGCACAGTCTCGGGCAGTCCCAGCGTGACGGCCATCAATACCGAAATTGTTGTACCAAGTGGTCAATCATGTTTCCTTAAAGTTTGAAAACGCCGGGTCTAGAGAGCTCATACCGAGGAACCACCTGGGTACTAGAATGGTAAACCAAGGGCCTACACATGAAAGATAGTAGCAGACATGAGTTTTAACGTCATTATTTGTTTTTGACTCAATATGTCTCATTTGCGTGGTGATACCTTTCATCTCGATATTAATCATGTCAAAATACTGATCATTCATCTGCCTTGATAAAACCAATCTACCAAAACATCCAGATTCGAAATGAGCCAATACGCAAACTCAAGCCTACCTGAGTTTCCATCCGACTTGATTGAAGCAGTTCAACACGCCCACGAAGAAGCTGCCGGGGAAAGTGCCACCGAAGAGCCATGCGTCTTTGTGCTTGCTCATGAAAGCATGCTGAGTAACGCCGAATCAGAATTCATCATTGAGGGTGTATTAAGCACCCTAGACTCAGCGAACCAAAAAGTGATGGAATTATTCAAGGAATATTATACAGGCTATCAGCGGTCTGACTTCTATGCCCAAGGAACTTGGCAAAATATCGGAGAAAACTCCGTCGGCTGGTATGTGTCGGGGAACGGGACATTGGCTCTGGAAATTCATGATAACGAGAGGAAAACTTGTCGAATATATGCCGAAAAACACGAAATTGAGTGATGTTTTTTATTTTTAATTTTAGAAGAGGATATCTACGTTGAGCTGATACCGTGGAATGACAATCGCTCCTAGCCCGCCTAGTAATCACCAGTAGGTAGACCAACACTGGGAACATGTTGTCCATGAAATCCAAATCCAATCGCCCCCATTTACATGCGCCCGGCCCAGCTCGTTCAAATTTTGAGCATCGAGGCAAAGCAGATAGCTCGTGCCTCGCATACCATCAAGCACCACGCTTAGAAGTACGCCGTCATCTTCTTTTGTGCCTTTTGGATTAGCGACAAAGATCGGTTCTCCAGGGGAATGGCCATGGCGCGCCCACAACCAAGATTCTTGATTATCACAGTCGAACTTCATGAGCCCATCAGTAAGAGTAGCCTCTCCACGAGAAGTGGTAGCGTAAACATATCGATGTTTCTTAGTGCCGAAGCTAGGGTTCATTGTCGGCAACTCGGGGGAGAGCCTCATGCATGCGGACCATTCAATGCTAGCTTTCTGAGGCTCGGGCGTTGGCGTTGATGGAAGGGTTGGAAGACGGAAACGCGTGACTGTGGAGCGCATATTATCGCCTCTGTTCGCGATATGTTCCTTGGCTGTCGAGAGCGAAGACTTGATGAATTCGTAGCTGAGGAGATCGATTACCGCAGAAGAGTCCATTCTGACAAGTTCCGCAACGATATCTATTTTGGATGGATCCTCCGGAGAAGGCTCTTGCCAGGCATTGATCGTGTGGAAACAGAAGAAAGCAGGGCTCTCATATGTTGCGACTAGGCCTTGGCCATGCTTACGATCAATCACATACCATGTAGCGGGCTTTGTAGGGTCGGTAGGCATGATGGCATCCTTGAAGACTCCATTGCCGGCCTTTAGGGGATTGACATGAGAATTCCAAACGCAAAGAAGCACAAAGTCTTCAGTGATGAGAAGGGAATGGATGTATGCTGGAACTCCTGGAAACGTCGCGAGGATGGTGGTCTTCCCCGTGCTTGCTGAAACTTGGAAAATGCGGTATGTAGAAGACGCCCCGATGTCAAGGTTGAAATTGAACACATCCCCCGTCGTTGGATCAGAGCGCGGATGTGATGCTACTACTGGCCCAGTCAACTCAGGATGAAAGTCCTTCTGGGAAGCTCGACCAATTGGTTCCAGTGTTTCTGGGTCTAGCTTCTTGAACTCGTTGTAATCGGTCTTCGCGTATAAGTTTCGAATTCCCTTGGAACCGGACCAGCGATCGAGAGATTCTTCACCCTGAGTATCGAGACCTGGCATATTGACCGAGAGGGTAACGCCAACATTTGACATCGACGGGCCTTCGACAGGAACGAATTCACTTTGGACTTTGCCATACAAAGCCTTACATGGATCTCGTTTTTGGCCAAATGAATGGCGTGAATCCCTGGACCCTGTCTTCCGAACGTATTCAAGAAGCTGATCTGTCGAAAATCGAGAGTTATAAAGGACCCGAAGTGAGGATTCGGAATCATCGGGCGCGATAATTTGGAATCGGTGGGTTTGACTGAAGCCATCAAACCAATGCGAAACCTGCAAGAGATGGCCTTCATCCGTTTGAACCTGGCTTTTACCCGGACCTGTACGGTACAGGGTTCCGGCGGCATATGCAGGAATCTGGCCTGTGACTTGAAGTTCTACTGGGGTAGGTTGTTCATATTCGGGGTCAAACTGATCGTCATGTCATGTGTTAGGCTTGTTGTTTGGTTCTAACATGGCGAAGTGGCAACATACACCCTTTTCGTTTGGCCAATTATTCCAGTGCTTCTCGACATCTTTGGAGCTACTCGCCACAGCAGTATTTGCCTCCCCGGTCAAAGTAGGCATGTTAGATGTATCTGGGTCACGGTTGTTGGTGTAGTCCTAGGTGATGGAAGATGGATTTGAATAAATTTCAAGGTCAAGTTGGTATATCTATCGGAAGTGAATCGAAAAAGAAGGTAACGAAGACATCTTTCTCCTTAAATGGGGGTGAAGCCCAAACCTTTCCCACTTGACGATCTCCTATCCGCCGAATCCGTCGGAGGAAACGCTCGTTTGTTCGCGACGCTGTTTGGCTGGGCGAAGCGGGGGAATCGCGACGGACCCCCCCCCCAAACTGACCTGCGACATCCGAGTTTCTCACCCAGCCCCAGCCTCCTCACTCGGTACTAGTATTTGATTCTGGTCTCAGGTAGATAGAATACCCAGGCATCTCTTTCATCCCTTCTGACTCGCAACAGAGCAGAAACGGTTGTTCTGGAATCTGCCGGGCGCGAGGCTTGCTGGACAGGCCTTCCAGAACACGTCGCGAAACCCACCGTTCGCTAAAGAAACTTCAGGTCCGTTTCGGATCTTCGGACCTCTGATTTCGGAACGAATCAGAAGCTCGGAGTTCGCAATCACAGACCCCCGTAAAGTTCTGGCTCGCCTGTCATTCCTCGAAGCGGTTTAGCAAGTTTGGCGGGCCCCGGGATGAACGTCTCACCGCAGGAAAAGCAATGGCACTGTGACCACTGCCCATCGGTCTTTGGGCGCATGGACCATCTGAAACGACATCTAATGACTCGTACGTATCGGTTCCTGCTGATGCCTCATGTCGAGTGTGGATGGTGGCTAACTTCGCTAGACAAACCCGAAAGAAGCAACGTATGTCAGTTCTGCGAGGCTGTGTTTAGTCGAGGGTATGTGGTATAGCTGCGAAAACACCTTGATTTGACAAATTACGCCAAGGGAGTTGCTGACAGTCATCCAGGGATGTGCTTCGGCGTCACTGGAAATCATGTAAAGCCCGGGTAGAGAAGGGCGAAGAGATCCCAGAAAGCCAACGAGGTGGAAAACATAAACGCGCGTGTGACAGTTGTGCAAATATCCGAAAAGCCTGCAACGGTGAAATTCCATGCTCAGAGTGTAGTAATCGCGGGCGAACATGCACTTATCGACGACTAGAGGAAAGTGCCGACACCTCTATTCACACTGATCAAGCCGAGGGCAGCACATCCCAAGACGTTAACGAAGGAGAAAATCCAGGCGCGAAAGATACCCCTGAAGGTGGACAAACTTGGGACCTTGGACATCAGAATTTCTATCCAAGCAAGGAATCGTCAAAAATCGTCTATTCGCGCAATCGATATGGGACCTAGTTTGGTACCTTCTTCTCTCGTGTACATACCCCTGAGTCGATGCCAGGCTCAGGCCTGTCCTATCCCACCCACAGAAGCTTCTTCATACTGGCAAGCCTTTGTATCTTGAAAAAGATGAAATAAAATGCGTTTAATACATATCATACGGTCTGCTATTTCACAAAATGAACAACTTGACCTCAGCGGGCGTCGATTCGAGAGAACTTGGGAAGAGAGTAAACGGGATACTTGCATCATCTGGTTTAAAATGGCAGTTTCAATTCTTAAAAATGTCTAATGTTATTGGATATGTCTATCGTAACTCGATTTATAGTAAAACAGATCTTGCACGTCGCTCATGGCTCGCTGAGATCGATTTGCATGACTCAGTTGCTTATGCTTCATGCCCAAAAAAATCACGGGCCGCTCATTCATACATCCAACACGCTTGAAAGGTGAATAACAAAGTGATCTATCCAGAACACATAATTTATTCTGGGGAACCGCAGGTGAAAACACCGTGGACGGTGCCGGCATTGTACTTGTTGATCTGAAAAATTTGAGTTAGCCTTGAAAATGAGAGCAGAGAAAGAGGCCGTTAGTTTGATGACCATTGGTGGTATACTTACAATATCATCAACACTGGAGTAAGTTCCTCCAACCAAAATGACCATACCGATCACGAAGACGGCAAGGTTGACGATGCTAGTGACGAGGTTCTTAGGGTCGCGCCAGCTGCCCTCCTTGAGGAGCAAGAACCACATCATTGGAGGGAAGTAGAAGGTAAATCCAGAGATAAATAGCGACGAAGAGATAGAAAGCAGATCATTGAAGAAGGGAATCACCTCGGCAATGATGAATGCAAGGATGGTTCCAACAGTGATAACAGCCAACCAGGTCAACCAGCCGGTCTTGGTGTTGATGAATCGAATGGGAGAGTTGGCGAAAATACGGCCGTGGACAAGACGTCCAAAAACGACAGTATTGATCGAGCCGGAAATAAAGATAACAGGCAAAGCAACACCGAAAGCAATACGGCTAACCAGATTACCAGCAGAGAGAAGGGCAGGGCTTCCAACATCCTGGCCAACAAAGGCGTAGATGAGAGCGCCGGTAAGGGTGTAAATAAAAATCTCAATCAGACCAAGAGCCCAAATTGACTTCACATAGTCGCGGGGTGTGTGCATTTCGTCCATGAAGGAGAATTGACAGAGCGCAAAGCTGTATGCGAAGACAATGTTCGACACAGAAACAAATGCCTCAGAGAAAGTGATACCCTCCTTCGGCCAAGCAGACCAATCAACAGCTGCAAGGCCACCGACTTCGTTACTCGATTCAATCCCAGTAGCGATAATCGTGATACCAATAGCGAGAATAATGGAGGCAAAGTCAATATAACCTAGGACAGCCATCTCGGTGAAACTAGGAGGGATAGCGAGTAGGAGGAGAATAATCGCAGACACCACACCGAAAATTACAGAGCAGATTTCGCTACTCGTGATATTTCGGAAGGCGATAGTTCCAGTAAGACAGTGAGATCCGGTAAGGAAGAGCAATTGGATAGCCAGCATCCCGTTCACAAGCTCAAACCCGAACCGAGGGCATCCCAGACGCGCACCCATCAACCGACCCGCATCGGCATAATGAGCAACCTCAGGGAACGCCAATTTGACCTTTCCGATAATATAACTGGTATAGATGGCAACAATTCCGAGGCCAACAGTAAGAATAACACCAGCCACCATTCCGAGGGTGGCGAATGAGGAAGGAATGGACAAACTTCCCAGCGCAATAGCCTCGACAATGAGGACGACGGTAAGTCGCTTCCATCCAAGACGGCTGAACTTTTGAATACCGCTCTCATAGACATGGCGATCTGCCTCATTCATATATCCGACCTTGATATCTCTCTCCCCGAACTCCTCGGTGGGCTGCATCTTCTCCTCATCGCGATTGGCAGTGTCTTCAGTGGGAGCAATCGGGGCCGTGGTATTCTCCGGTTGGCCACGATGACCGTGAGATATCTCGTCGTAGTCCATTATTGAGGTAAAGGACAAGGAGGGAGGGACGGAGGGAAGGAAGAAGACCGGGATATTGTTAGGCGAAAGGTGCGTTACAAGAAGCCAAGCTTCGCGTGCAGAAGTTTTGCTCAGGAATCCAATGGCTTATGAACGGGCAAAGCTCGGAATTTCGCCGTCCAACCAAAATTTTCAGGCTCTCGGAGTGGCTTGAAACCCTATTCGGAATCCACCCGAAAAAGAAGATCGTCTGATCGAACCGCTTGTTGAAAGAGCAAGAAAGAAGCGATAAAAAGTTGAGAAAGAAAGTAGGCCAAATGAGGCGGGGAAGTTACACTCAAGAGTCAACTCTCTGGGGAACACGAGGCTTATTGTACCATGCGAGATCCCCGGGGTTTTTATGTAAAAGAAATTGCAGCATCGTTCAAAAAAGTGGGCGATGACCGCATCTGGAGTCGAAACAGAACAAGCCCTAGGATGGATATGGGTAGACCCACTATCTTCTTTTTAGGGTTCTCCGAGTTAGCGTTCGGCGAAACGTAATAATCCCGCCTCAAATTCCTCTTGCTTCTCGGCCCGCTCCAACCATCAGGGCCCGTTGGGTTTGGCTTGATTACTGTTCCTCTTCTTCTCCTCATTCTGTTTATGCCAGGCGGAGTCGCCCCTCTTGCCACCTTTTAGGTGAGTGGGGATTATTTGGATCTTTGACCCATGATTCGTGCTCCCCACCGAACCGTCGATGGGCGCATGAGGGCGTAGGTCTATCCAGTCCACGGCCCGAGTCTGGCCGCGAGGCATTCCGAACAATATCCTTGGATGTTCCCGGGGAAGGGCGTGTGGAGAGAAGATGGCGAAAGAATGATTCCGGGGATTCTTCGCGATCTCCCTATTTCTTGTACCTAAAAGGCATTCGTTGGGCGCTAACCTCCCGTGTTTTGACATCACCCGGAGTTTTGAAGGGGTAATGGGGAGTTTTGAAGGGGTAATAGAAATACATTTGACTTCTCCGCGTCGAAGCCACCCACCTTTTTTCTGAGTCCACCCCATGGAGTCCACCCCGTACCCCATCAAATGCCCCAGAAGCCAGTCCCCCCCCCTTCTCCGCGAGAAACTCCAAAAAACATTTCCTCTTGAGGACATTTTACACATTCCTGGTTTTGGAGGGAATTACTAACTACGATCTACGGTTGAGGCTGTTCGGATAGACTTCCAGAAACCCGTCATTGTACTAACTCTCGGCACTCAACCACCAATCCCCTTTGAAATGGCATGACAACAAGAATGAACCTAGGGAATCCCGCTCTCGGTAATGATAATCTCGTCAATTTTCACACGAGAACCCAATGAGCTTTCATTTGCCAGTATCGCCGTCTCACCTCCCGCCCCCAACATACGATGAGACATGGGGAGAGCGATTTTTTTCTCCTCCGCGTCTCCATGTCTCCACTCAAAACAATTCCCCCATTTTATTTCGGAGCAAATAATGCAGAGGGATTGCTCAGCTGGCGATGTCGGTGGTTTTCTCCAATTTCTCCAAGTGCTCGTACCGATAGCGCCCAATAGATGATGCCAAGGAAGGCTTCTTTCTCCTCGGCATTGACCGCTAGTGATTGTTCATCTTTCGCTTTGCTAGGATCCGGGATAAATCGAAATAACTCCCTTCATCGAAAGGCATTGAAGTACTCTGTTATAGATCCCGGGCACGGATACTCAACTTGAATGATGATCGACGGTCAATCCGGCTACACGCGGCGCCAATTGCCACCCCGGGAATGGGTGTCCGATAAAATCTCAGAATGGAGTTGATCGAGTACTTTAGCCTAATTTGGTCAGTGAACAGGTAAACTGTACAATCCTGGTAAATTCCTTTGCCATTTCAAGAAGGTGCTGCGACAAGGCGGCCACTATAATAAGTAGCAAGCTGGTACATGTCGCCTCGAAGTACTTTTCCAAGTTTTTTGAAATCCTCAGGCCGACACCATTAACATGATACTTATAATTAAGATACATTTTCAGAACAATAAAATAGCACCCATCATACCATATACGCGTTCATCATCGAGGTATACTAGTAGTAGTAGTAGTAGTAAACAAAATCCCGCCATGTTCATCAGTGCCGCAGACAATTAGATGGAGTCGACGGTATCCGCTACCCCATTCTAACGACCTTGTTAGCATAGTCCTGAGTCTTGAAATCCATGGATTGTTTCAATTGCTCACGGTAAGACAGTAGGTTTGACAGTCGAGATCAGAGCCGCATTTTTTTAAACAATGCCCCATCTTCTCTACGCTAGGCTCGGTATCTTCGAGGAGGGCAACTGCGTAAGTGGCGCCAAAAATGGCGAGAATAGTGGCGAGGCGCATTCTTATGGTGAAGTAAGCGTGTGGGCGAGAATTGAACTTGAAGCTGTGCAGAATATATGCAATGGGAGTGGAATGGAAGTGGTGCACCTTGGGACAAGTAATCAACCAAGATCGAAGCTAGTTCAAGTTTCTGGACGTGTCATGTAGACGTGCAAGTTCAAGTTCGTAGGGGTATTTATCGAAGCGCCTATTCCCTTCCATTTTAGTTATTTTCTCCCTTGGCACTTCGGAAGGGTTTGGAATGTTGAGCTATTCCAAGCCCGTCAGTCGCCTCAACACCATGTGTGAAACGCCACTACATTTTAGCAACAGCAGGAGCAAGGTAACTACTAAGTAAACAACATTATTACCCCAATAATTTACATGAGAGGAGATGGTCCTTTGTCAATACTTGCGAGCAGTACGGAGTAAAGGTTAATCAATTAACCCCCCACCCCGGGTATTCACTCATACGCGTCGTGCTCATTCTTCCTTAACCTCCCTTGCTGACTCGGACCGATCTGCGGCCCAATATAAATAAATACCCACGGCCGTAAGAAGGCCCATAACACCCTCGAAAGGAGCAACGTCGCGCCAACCCCCACCAGCTCGATAAAACACAAAAGCAGCCAGGAGTCTACCAGGAACAGAAGCGATCATCATTGGGATGTTGTTTTGGTATGAGGCGATCGTGTAGAACGATCCCAGCGATAGAGATGTAAGGCTACATGGCCAAGGTGTAAGTCTCAACCTGTGACTAAAAAGGAGGAGGAGAACCCCGGGACTGGTAGCCCATACCTGATTGCTTGTATCGTGCCATCTCCGATATCCTTGAGTGGGGAGTTTGGGAGAGCTGCAGCGGCAGACGGCCAGAATAAGGTGAAAACCCCACTGGCCACGAGCGGGATCGCTTGGATACCGAAGATATACTGCGAAGGGCTGAGACCCTTGAGACTAGAAAAGCTCTCAAATAACATTTTGGTGGTATCAGGTTTCCAAGTTGGCTGGGTTGCAGGTTCTGGGTCTTTGGGGCGGCGCTTGGGGGAAAGTGAGGTCAGTTGTGACTTGTAAGCACTAAGCACGGTTTGCCGGGAGATCGGGACTCGGAACTGTATTACTAGTAGTAACACAACTTTTTACTTGTCGGGGGCCAAAGCTTATTTTGTATTTTGTCTTACTCGTAGGTATTCTGTCTAGCAAGACGAAAATGTACAATTTTGGAAATCAAGGAAAATAAGAAGTTTGAATGGAGAATTTCTTCGTCATTATCATTTACAGTGGAGGCCAGCTAGATATTATCATCAAAATACACCACTAGTACCAATATTGCCAGACCCTTGAGTGGAGAGCTTGGACATCACCTGTGATATCATTCAAATCATCGCGACAAGAACATAGAATCCACACTATCATATACATCCCCAATGAAGTTCTCATAATTCGTCCAAGCAACATTATCCACCGAGCCCTGCAAGTTATTGGAACTGAAATCCATTGAATCCCAAACATTCGGCCAAGGCTCCAGCATGATATTCGGTGGCATACTAACAGCCGGATCGAGCTGACCAGTAGCGAGATCAGGCTGGATCCCTAGATCATAGCACGGCGCGAGGGGAACATTGACTTCTTCGGGGACCGATTGGAGAGATTGTTGCATGGCGACGGGCGGGGTCTGGTGAACAGATGGCTCACTCGGGGAGGCACTGCCGAGCATGTCACGCTTGTGGGCTCGAGCTTGATGCATTAGTTTTTCAAGAGGTTTCCAAAGCATGCCGTGTTGTGAGTCAGCGATTGTGAGGCTTGAGCGGTGGTAGACTTGTTCTATGACGGGCCAGTGTCTGGACATTGCTTCTGGGTCTTTGCAGACACATAGCTCGGCTAATGCGACGGCCAGACCGTGCCATGGTACCCATAGGGCCCCGAACCACATCCACTGTGCAGTTGTTGGATCGCTGTAGGATTCTTGGACCTTGGCGAGGTTGTCTACGGCGAGACTGAGAAGGGCGTCGCCTTGTACGGCGGGAGGGATGAAGTTGCGACTTCGAGATATGGGTCGGAGAGACCCTAGCTGGAGCCAGCCGTAAATTGTGGTTGCTGTTCGCTTTGTGTAGAGTTGGAAAGGGGATGATTCCGGTCGGCATCCGCTGAGTAATTTCGTGACTTTGTGCTGGAAGTTGAGGAGCATTTGCTGTCTTGAGCTCATTTCTTCAACGGCTTGCTCGATGAAGTCCGTGTAGGCAATCATTCTCGCGACGGACTGTGCTGCCGCTGTGATTAAGGTCAGAGTGAGATCGGTGAACGTGCCCTCGGGCGGTTCTTGAATTGGAACATTCATGTTGAACCAGATATTCTCGTCGTTGATATTGGAAGGCGGGTGCGAGTCTAACCAAACGGATTGCATCATCGGTTCCGAGGCTCGATCTAGCGAGGCTGAGAAATCCAGAAGTCCAATGCATAACCAGCAACGGCGGCGCATCTCTTGTTCGAACGGGTTGACTTGGAATGGCGGATCACGCATGTGAAGACACAATGCTTGACCGACACGGAGAGCCATGGCTGACATTGTCCAGACACGTCGACTTTGATCCTGACAACGGGCAGCAAGCAATGACAGTAGGTATGCTTGTAACACGGTCAGTTCATTTGTCGTCACGAAATCCGACCTCTGTAGTGCAGCATCCGTTTCCGCTTGGAGGCAAGCTGCCGCGGTCCTTTTATCGAGGCCGAACAACAACTGACACTGTGCGTCGTCGATCGTTACTACCGCAGCGTAGTAGACAGCGTATGCCAGTGTTACTGGGGCGTGGTGATCAAGTTCATAATCCAAATATGGCTGGTCATCGCGTAAGAAGGCCCGGAGCGAGGGCCTATGGAGGACTTTGAAAACGGGGTCTACATTTCGTATATAAATCTCACACAAGCTTCGGCGAGCTTGGGCGGTGATAGTGATGCCTCGAAACGACTGGGGTGAATTACCGGTGCTTTCTGAGCTCTCGGAGCCAATAACAGAAGCCCCCATGTTCGAAGGACGTCGAGTATCGTCTCCTATTTCCAATCGATCGTCGAGAACATCACGAAGCTCTGAAGTCTTCGGAAGGAAAAACAAAGTCAATCGGGACCCAAAGACTCAGACACAGCTGTATCACCGCAAGAGGCGCGACATAAATTAGAGTGCTTACCTGCTGCATGATATCTTCCCAGAACGAGCTACCCATATAAGAAGTCGACGGACGAGGCCGATGTGGCATAGTCATTGTAAACCCAGTAGAAGGTTCTGAAAGCTGATCGCGCCAGGCGGCCTCCTGCTCCGGGATGTTCGTCTGTAGTCCATGCTCCCCGATCGAACTGGATGCGGCGCCAGCGCCCGTGCTAGGCCCGGTAGAAGAGGATCCGGTGGCTGGGGCACCATCACGCTCGGAGGCCACACGCCTGAGAAGTTGTTCTAGCTTGGCTACTCGGTCTGCTAGCTCTTTGTCCGTGTTCTGTGCCCGCTCGGGTGGCCTTCTTGTCCGACCCCGCGGTAAGCGGGCTCTCTCGACAGGGACGCAAACGAAGCCCAGCCGTACACAGCTGGTACATGGACTTAATTTGTCACATTTGACCTTGCGCTGACGACAAGCTTCGCAACTTAGTCGAACTTTTGGTGCAGAAGATCGAGATTGGGATGGTGTGCGTTCAGGCTTGGTGGCCAGGTCTACCTGGTCCTCCATTCCTGGCAGATCCACGACATCCACGGGACCGTGGGCGTTTATGAAAAATGCTGAATGATAGGAGAAAAAGGAGAAGCAGTTCTGGACAAGGTAATATTTTCTTCCCCAAAGCAAGTGGGGGGGTTTTTTCCCGTCAATCTGCAGGAAGAAAGAAGGCTTACTGACTCCGCGAAGTTGGGTGGCCTTGGCGCATCGCCCCCACGAGTTTATTGGTTCCGCCTGAGTTTACCATTGCCAGTCTACCAGTACTAACCAGTGGTGGTTAGAGCAGAGAATTAGAGTGGTTTCATCTAATGAGGATGAATTGACTAGAACATAGAGATAGAAATACAGAAATATATCAAAAACTGCAACTTTTCATCCATCCTCACCCGAGACTATGCCTTCACCGCGAATCCATATAGAGTGTTGGAGGCATTGATATCGCCCTGCCCCGCCACCGTGCGATACACCTGCCTGCAGCTGCCTTGAGTATTGAAGAATTGGACAGTAGTGGCCCCATGAGATCCGCGCCAGCTGATCTGCGCGCCTTTCGGGATAACAACCATTTGGCAGGGGGGGCTTTGTTGGACCCGTGCCGTCCCATTTCTGGTTTCCGGCCTTGAGTTCCCACGCCCCAGTGGCTCCGAGAAGGGCAGTCAACGAGATCCAAGTGAACAACTTCATATTGGTTGTATATGATAAGCTAGATGAGCGAGCTTGCTTGAGAAACAGAATCTTAGAGCACGTTGGAGTAACAAGGTGTGCGGCTTACTTTGTCTCCTATAGTAGGGTTTAGTAAGGTGCTTGGAGGGAACCACCTGGGCACCTACTACAATCTACTTGTTTTATATTGTCCAGCGCCTGAAGAGTTTATGTTTCACTGATGTCACCACTAGTACAGAATCGCGCGAACACCCTGCACTCACCAAGGTTCTAGTCGCTGAAACAGAGCACATCGGCTGATGGAAGGCCATCACTAGATCCACTTTGGATTGGTTGGCTAAATTAGGCGGTTCCAGACCGATCTCTACCAATTAAGGTATTCTAATCATTCCTAAAAAGAAAACGCCTCTCAGTCTCATTCAGGCAAAATATCATGATATCGAGTGGATTGGAAGAGCCCGGGCAGGTCAGATCCATCATAGAAAATCTTCAGTATTACTATTACAGACGAAACGGGGTTTAACCCAGAATCTTCAAGCCACCCTTGGTTTTGCCGGACTTCTTCACACCGTCATGCTTCACCTTTCCACCCTGGTTGCCGCCGCGGTTTCCACCTCCATTCTTCTTTTGGTTCTTGTTGTTCGAGACCGGCTTGACCTCGGTCGTGGCTCGTCGCAGTAGAACCGGGTGCGAACCAATATACTTTCCTTGCATTTCTCGGGCGGCCTTGAAATAGTCGTCGCCGTCGCTGAAGCTAACGAACCCATATCCTTTGCTCTTTTGTGTGCGCTTCTCTCGGATCACTCGTCCTTTTTGCACGGAAGTGTATCGTGCAAATGCCTTGACCAACGAGTCATCCGTCACCTCGCCAGCAAGGTTACCCACGAAAAGGCGGAAATGAGCCGGGTCCCATTCAAGCAGGGTTGTATCACTCCAATTTTGACCGCCCCCGGAGCGCTGCACTGTCTTCTGTGACTCGGGCGGGGGAGCGGGGTGCCGACAGTAGTGGGAGTTGCTGAACTGGTGTAGGTGCTGGTAGTGCCTGTCGGAGGCTGGGGCGCATCTCGGCGCTTTCCAGCCGCAGCCTCATCGCCCATGTTCGAGTATGCACTTTGCCATTGTGCGATTTGGGCTTCTGTCTCGGCATCTACACCAGCTTCGCGGCCGCGGCCGCCACGGCCGGGACCGTAGGACTGGTTGGGCGTGGAACCAAAGGGGTTTTGTATGTGTGGAACGGTCGGGCCATAGCTATTCTCGTTGTAGCCGGTGCCGGCACCGGCACTGGCGCCATAAACTGAGGGACCGCTCTGATAAGAAGGTTGGGCTGGTTGGGCTGGCTGTTGGTAGTAGTTTCCGTAACTGGTCGCAGGCGCGGCATATCCGGGATTGGACACAGGTGGTGCCGAGACGACCGGGCTGCTGGTGCGATTGGTCTGGGTAGAAGCTACGGAGCGAGGCGCAAAGGCCGTGAAGGCATTGTAGCCCGGTTGGCGGGTATTGCCTCCCGGCTGGGCAGGATTGGCGGATGGAGGAGGACGAGCCGGAAGAGAGGAGGGAGTCTGTTTGAGACCTGGAGGGGGTGGATAGGACATGATGAATGGACAGTCCGTAAAGAGAGACGG